AGCCCCTGGGCCAATATCTTGATAGCTGGCTGCTAACTACTGGATCTGGTGCAGGGCCTACTGTTAAGGCACCTGCTGTGCTGAGGAGGAAAGTGGGGACTGTGAATGAAGGACAGCAGTCTTGCTTCTAGGGAAGTAATATCTGATAAGGGTGGTCAAGGAAGATGTATTTCATCACTTTATATTCAACTTTGTCAGAACTACTAGTTTAATAATTAGTGAAATAACCATTCTAAAAGTAATATGTCCTAATTTCTTTTCTCTATATCATAAGTACTTCCAATATTGTTGGCACTAATTATTGCTACTATTAATCTATTGTAGTAAAACTCTTATGCTACTGCTTAAATTGTGCAAGCACATAAAACCTTCTCTATTTAAAGTTTTTGTAAGGAGTTGTGACTGAAGGATTCAGTAAGAATCTAAGTACAAAGATGGATTTTCTGTATAATTATAGCCATTGGGGGGTCAACTTGGCAGCTTCTGATTTTGGATAGAGTAAAATAGTTCAAAGAATGCTAATGGAGATCTTGAGAAATAAATATTAGTTTAGTTCTTGACTTAACAGAATGAATTTCATATAGCCTCTTCAGACTATATCAAAAAGTTCCCAAAATAAACAGTTCACTTATTTGTTAACTGTTTAGAGAACAGAATAAGTTCTTAGAATCAGGCCTTGGTCCACAGACCTGAAAGATTTCTAGAAAAGTAGTAAGAAAAAATTTAGTATGTAATCAAAAGGCAATAATTGCTCAATTGATTCTCCCCTTCATATATTTTTAAATCTATCTCTTGGCATCCAAAAGTGTTCATATGTCTATCTCATGGGTGTGCGCTCTGGATATATACATAAGTCAGAAACTGCTTTTGAGTATCTGTCCCACTGAGGAGGGCAGAATGAAGAACACGGCAGGAGAGGACTTGGCTGTGGATTAAATAGCAATACCAGAAAACAACATATTTCCCTCCTGAATCGGGGAACATATTATCAGGACCACAAAAGGATACATGTAAGTTGGGATGCCTCTTGCAGCCAGATGTTTCCGAATAAGTCGCTCAGTACCATACCAGTTAAAATCCCTGGTGGCATGACCGATGCGTGGAAGATGAACACTTGCTATTAATTAAAAAAAAAAAAGATCATGATGTCTTTACTCATCAAAAATGGGTTGATGGGTATACGATATACAGAGAAGAAAATAACCATTGACTGTCCACCCAAAATACACAAATACAGTGTGAAAAATATGCTGGCGAGGGGATTATAATAGGGAAAAATTAAGTTGTTCTGCTGAACATAAAGATCCACAGGCTCTTGAAAATAAGCAGGCACAATGGAAGTAGAATATGATTAATGGTGAAATCAAAGATTCCCCAATAATCCATGAAATTCAACAAACACCAAGACACACTAGGTTTAGAAACAAAATTAAATTTCTTTGGCAGAGAGTCACGGCATACTGTGAGTCTCTAAGGGGAAGTATAATAAACGGCTTTTCCGAATTGCGTATGACCAAATTTCTTCATCTCTAATCTTCTGCTTCTCCACTGTAAAATCATGATAAAAACGAGATAACAAATACAAAACCAACCTGGAAAGGAAAACAGGTCACACACAGACAAGATGAAGTGGTCATCACTCTGTGCTCTACCTTTGCCATGTAAACCGAGTGTGGTCTGGACATTCCTCATCTCCCCCTCAAAACAACACCACATGTCTGGAAAAAGAAGGTCCTCTCCTGATCTCAGATGGAAGAGCTTACCTTTCTTTTTCTTTGCTGCTAAAAATATCTTCTTGAGGCCCTCTTCTAGGGCTGCCATCTTAATGCCAGACAGGACATTGGAGCGATCACGGTGCTGAGCCACTACCAAGGCTAACTAGAAAGAACAAACCATTAGATGGATGATATGAGACAGTTCCACTGTCAACTCAGTGACCTGCCCATGGAGGGGACATAGCCTTTTATGGACCACTTAGGCTTTGGCTCCATCCCCCTGGCCCCTTTTTTGGATACGGAGATTGAACCCAGGGGTGCTTAACCACTAAGCCGCATCCCCAGTCTTTTTTTTATTTTTCATTTTGAGACAGGGTCTTGTTAAGTTGTTTAGGGCCTCACTAAATTGCTGAGGTTAGCTTTGAACTTGTGATCCTCCTGCCTCGGCCTCCTGAGCTGCTGGGATTACAGGCGTGCGTCACTGCACCAGGTGGCTCCATCTCTTTTGTATGCTCTGCTTGCACAGCAATGTGTGATTATGTACCCATCATAACTTGTTTTTGTGGTAACGGGAATTTCTTCCTCTTTTCATGATATGTTAAAAACTAGAATCTAAAACTTATACTTCCTAAATGTTCTCATAGGTAAAGAAAAATTAGATAGGATTTTAGAGGTTCCCACGATCCAGTCCTCTGACACTAGAGTTAGGCTGCCTGCTTGTCCTGGGAACTATTTCTGTCTAGACAATCTCTATGAAAACAGATGCCAAAGATCTCCCACCTCCTCCTAATGGGGGGAAGCTGGAGAGTTCAGGGAGCTTCTGGAGCCAATGTCAGTCACGACAGTCACGTCCCAGACACAACGTTCCACACTGTGAACAGTTTCCTGAGTAACTATATTCTGAAATTCTCATGCATGGACATTATGTTGTCCACCCTCTGCCTTTTTTTCTTATTTTAGAAATTCCTGAATGAACCAATAAACTGGAAACCACTTTGTTGCTAGTCACACACACCACCAATATGAAGAGAATGAACCTCTTTCAGCCTGGTTTCTGAATTTCTTAAGTGTAAGTTTTGGTTCAGAATTTGGATGTGGACTCAGGTCTTGGAGAAAACTGTCGGTGTGGTAAGTAAATTCACTACAGGTATTCCAAATGACAGACAAGCAAGCAAGAGATACTTAAGGTGCAAAAGGAGGATTCTGATGTAAGCAGAGAAGTGCTGTACTGGTTCCTTTCCTCTGCCTGTGGCTGGCCAGGAAACACAATCTTTTACAGAAATTTCATGTAATAAATGATGAAACCCCCAGAGTTTTGAGACATATTTTCTTACTATTCAGTAAACGTTCACTGAGTATTTCCTAGGAGCCAATACTATGTGGGATACTAAGGATAAAAAAGTCCCTACACACAAAGGGGCCTGGAGTCTAGGCCAGGGGATGATAAGGAAGCAGAACAGCGCTCAGGGACTGTGATACTCAGAAGGCTGGGGGATGGCGAAGTGGAGTGTGGGGGCCAACCTGCTTGTTATGGGATGGACCCTGCTCCCCCAAATTCATGTTTTGAATTTGGGGTACTCCCAGTACCCCAGAATGTAACTACACTTGGACAAAAGCCTTAAAAAGATTTATACTGACAGTAGAATGAATTGCAGATAATTCTCCTATGTTCATACATGAACACATAACCAGTCTAACTCCACACCATGGACAACCACAAGAACGGGCAGTTACAGGGCTGGGGATGTGGCTCAAGCGGTAGCGCGCTCGCCTGGCATGCGTGTGGCCCAGGTTCGATCCTCAGCACCACATACAAACAAAGATGTTGTGTCCGCCGAAAAACTAAAAAATAAATATTAAAATTCTCTCTCTCTTTAAAAAAAAAAAAAAAAAGTGTGGGCAATTACACTCCATGTATGTATGACATATCAAATACATTCTGTCATGTAAAATAAAAACAATTATTGGGAGCCAAATGTTAGTTCTGATTAAGAGATGTATTTTTGTTTTTAAACTTACCAGATCTTGCCCTGTGTTTCTTGACTCTTTATCATCAATAGGAAATAAAAGGACACCTCCCAAACTTAAGTCTGAGATTAAAAAAAGAAAAAAGAACAAGAGAAAGAACACTCAGCCTCACATGGACCACTGAAGGAGAATTACTCCGAACCCTACTGTGCCTGCTCTTCCAAATCCAGTTAGGTCTAGGACTTCACCTCTGCCAGTCTTTCGTAGCCTTTTCTCACTCCCCTGTTCTCCTGACCTCAGTCACCGCCTGAGCCAGGTTCTCATCTGCTTCCCTCCTGAATTTTTCATGTTCTGCTAACTCAGTATTCCCCAAATGTCACCAGCCAAGTGCCCTACAGGCAACGGGGAGGGAAAGCGAGTGCTAGAGGCATCCCTGGGTAGGGAGCTGGGGAGGACTTCTATGAGCCTGAAATGCCTTTGGAAGTCTTAGTGTTTGTCTCACATCATTCAAATTCTGCATTCTACTACGTCTAGTCCTATTGCATGTTTTCCTACCCCATACAAATCAAATCAAACTGACATTCTAGGCAGATGTGCTCATTTAATTCTGGGCTCTACATAATCCAGTTTAAACTTTTTGTTTAAACTAAAAAGGTAGATATCTTGCACACCCCAATCTTTTAATTCTAAAATACTGGCTCTGCTACATCATTTTCTTTTTCTAGGTGACAATGGACCTTTATTTATTTATATGCAGTGCTGAGAATCGAACCCAGTGCCTCACATATGCTAGGCAAGTGCTCCACCACTGAGCCCCAGCCCCAGCCCTGCTATGCCACTCTTCTGATCAGGTTTCCTGTATGTCTAGCCGTGATCCACTGGATGTGGTCCTACTTAGAACGTATCCCCTAGACAAGCCATGTATGGTCTTCTATGATGTGGCCAACCCTCCCTTTACAACTGAACTCTGCTGTTCCTTGGCCTAAGCCTGGCCCATGCGTGTGGACTGTGCAATGACTTGGGAACAGTAAATATTATAGGGATACCAAAAAGAATGTGACTGTTAGGCATCTCTTGCCATTCTATCCACCTATTCAAATTCAACCCATCTTCCCAGACCCCAGATAACTCTTGCCATTCCAGGAAGCCTTGGTCCAGTTCTACCTACTCTGATCTAGGCTATTTAAATCCTTCTTCATGGGGCTGTAGCTGTAGCTCAGTGGTAGAGCTTGCCTAGCATGCATGAGGCACTGGGTTCAATCCACAGCACCACATAAAAATAAAAAAATAAAGTAAAGGCATTCTGTCCATCTACAACTAGTTAAAAAAATATAAATCCTTCTTCAGAAAAGAGTGTACACCTTCCAACTCCATTTTCTTACTGACCACTTTTACCTTAAATCTATACAACCAGGTGACAGTCCTCACATTCCTCAAAGTGCTCCAAGGTCATGTGGCTGATCATGGGTTGAATCCAGTGGCCTTTTCCCAATTCTTTTTTTTTTTTTTTATTGGTTGTTCAAAACATTACAAAGCTCTTGACATATCATATTTCATACATTAGATTCAAGTGGGTTATGAACTCCCATTTTTACCCTGTATACTAATTCAGAGTCTGACACTGTAAACCACTTTGCCTTCTTAATATTCTCTCTTCCCTTACAAAGGTTGAGCAGCATCCCTAATCCAGAAATCCCAAATCCTCCCAAATCCCAAATTTTTAACAGTGATATGATGCCACAAGTGGAAAAATTCCACATTAGACCTCATGTGATGCACAGTGCACTAAAAATAATGTATGAAACTACCTTCAGGCTATATCCATTAGATTTATGTGAAATATAAGTGAATTTTGTGTTTAGACCTGATCCCATTCCCAAGGTATCTCATTAAGGTATACAAAATATCCAGTTTTTAAAAAAATCTGAAATACTTCAGTTTAAATAAGCAAAACCTTTACTTCAAAATACTACATTCTCAAGGTTCTCTTATTTTTCTGAAAATTCTTACTGTCTCCTCTTAGCTCCAAAAGTTTTCCATGTACTGTTCTCTGGCCTCTCATTTCTCCAACACGATTTCTAACAGGGACCTCAGTCTGTACCTCTGGCTCTGACCTCTCCCAGGTTCTCTGCACCTTTTTGCTTTTGTTTTGAATCCTGCCAAGTCAAGATCTAGATCTGGGTTGGCTGTTTCAACACACACACCAAACCCTTCTTTCAGCAATGTGTTTTACACCCTTATGTTTCTCTCTACTTTAGAGAACTGGGCAAAAGAATTAGGAAGAACCAGTCTCTAAGATATCTGGAGGGCCCTTCTTTGTTGGACAAGGTCCCGTGACTGCTCAACCGCAGAAAATAACCTCAGTGATCATCTTACTCTTCCTGACATGTTGCAACCTTGACACGTAAAAGGAGGTGGCCTTTTCCCTTCTGTGTGACAAAGGACAATACTTCTTAGTCTTCTAAGTTCTCCTAGTCCCAAACAGCCTTATTTCTGTCTCCAGGGAGTGTTGTACCCAGGCTCCGCTGACCTCATAATCCACCTAGCACCAAACCTGACCCACCACCTACCAGTTTTAATAGTGTGTTGCATTTCTCTCCTATAGCTCTCTGACATTTTTATGGGATATTCCCTTATGAAGATGGCATGAGTTGGATGAAATAATCTTTATTCTAATACTTGAAGATGCAGCAATTGACATTTTTCAAAATACCTACACATTCATTATCTTCACTGTAGTCCCACGGGGTAGGTGTGACAAAGTATATACCTTACAGATGAGAAAACAGGCAGAGAGATGATAGAATTCCGATCCCAATGGGCTCTTGTAAGTCTTCTCGAGGGCTAGCTAACCCCAATACCGTCCTGAGTGTCTTTTCCTGTCTTATTCCATTGTTCTGTTTCTTACCTTTCATCTTTCCTGCCAGCTCATATATTTTTCTTGGCTCAGCTGATCGTGCTTCCAGAGCCGTGAATAAGCCACCTCTGCCCCAGCGGCCAGAGTCATCTGACGGAAGAAAGAAAATTTTCATCTGTAAGAGGCAAAGTCAAGCCCACAATTTAGAAAAACAAAATCACAAAAGATAGGCTTGTAGAAGAATGATTTTTTCAAAGGGAAGGAAGGAACGATATATCTGATCTCCTAAGAGAATCATAGTTGGATTCCCAAATATGTTCAGGTTTCTGAAAGATACGCCTGTTCATCATAACAGAAAGGCAGCTCATAACACCACATGTGTTATGAAGAAGCAGAAATCTCTGGTGGGTCTATGACTCTGGAGGGTGGAGAGTGGACGGACACAGCAGTGACAAGCACTGTTGATACCACAGCATACAACTCCCATTTTACAAGCAAGGAAGAGAAAAAGTTAAATGACTCATTCAAGCTCACATTAATGTAGCTGGTTGGCACCTGGTATTTATACTCATTCATACCACAACTGCTTATTTACCTGTATCACACGTCAGACATCATTCCAGGTACTGGGGTAATACAGTGAACACACATGCACACACACAGTCCTCTTCCATTAAGCTTATGTTCTAATGCAATGAGACAGTCAAAGAGGTACGTTAATACATCAGGAGGGGATAAAGGTAAGTGGTGTAGAAAGAGGACAGAGTGACAGAGGCAACATACAGACTGTTTTATAAGCAGACATTTGAACAATGCTTGATGGGATTATTTGGGAAAATAGGGTTCCTGGCAGAGGATACAGAACATGCAAAGGTTGTCAGGGGAACACACAGGGAGTTTCTCAGAGAATACAGTTTTCTTCTAAAATGCAGCCTTGTTTCACCCTCTTAAAAAACTTGTGCAGAGGATGAGACAGATATTGTCCCATTAACATAGATTAGGAGGCTGACACTCAGGGAGAGTGGGTAACTCAACCAGGTAAACCAAAGAGCCAAGAGTCAAATCCACGCCTGCTGATTCTACAAGCCATGCTTTCTTGGCCACATGACACTGCACTGGGACCAGCCCTCAAGCCATGACTGTGCCTCATCCTCTCCCTTTCTTGGCACCATGAAGATGAGGCACCCTCCCTGTCCCACACCACTTCTCGTACCTACACAATGCACAATGAAGGCGTCCTCGGCCTGGGCCTGAGGGTGTGTGACGTCACCGCTGACATACTTGATGGAGGCTGGGTCTGGGTCTTTGCAGCCCAGCTCGGCAGCACCCCTGTCTTCCTCATCCTCGAGGTCTTCAGGCTCACTCTCCTCAGAGGGCAGGCAGAAGGACTGGTAGTTGTTGGACTTCCACCAAGCCACCCTTCATTAGGCCAGAGAGAAGAGAAAAGTAAGCTCTCCTTTGAGCACATTTTGCACTGCTATTCCTAAACAATAACTGCCAAGTAAAATGCAATTACAAACTCACCGATTGAAGTTTTCTGCTCAATTGTAAATAAACAAGTTTTAGTGATTAGCCCAACTATCTCTTGATTACACTTCAATAATGAGCAGCCACCAAATGTTCCTGTTTTTAAGAACACGACTAAAAGGGACTGTTCAAATAAACAATTCCTTGTCAACTATAATAAAATCTTTAAAATTTCTTGTTTCTCTGCTTTAGGTACTCAAGACTTCTCACTAAAGTAGACTCAAGGTTAAAGCTGAATCTTTGAAAAAGTGTTCTGTGGAGTCAGGTGTGGTGGTGCACACCTGTGATCCCAGCTACTCCGGAAGCTGAGGCAAGAGGATCCCAAGTTAGAGGCCAGCTGGACAACTTAGTGAGAGCTGGCTCAAAATAAAAAATAAAAAGAACTGGGGAAGTAGATCGTGGTAGAGTGTCCCAGGTTCAATCCCTAATCCAAAAAAAAAAAAAGTATTCTGTTACCAACAGGAACTACCAGGTTGATACTTTTTTGAATTTTTAAGTGATGTTCAATTGTGGAATCCTTTGCCAACTGTGACCCTCAGCTTGGTTAGTAACAGACATACTTTTTTCCATCAAATATATATTAAGGGCTTGGGGATATGGCTCAAGCAGTAGCGCGCTCGCCTGGCATGCACGAGGCGCTGGGCTCGATCCTCAGCACCACATAAAATAAAGATGTTGTGTCCACCGAAAACTAAAAAATAAATATTAAAAAATCTCTCTCTCTCTTAAAAAAAAATATTAAATTTCCCATATGAATATCCTTCCCTTCTCCACAATCTAGTAGAGGAGACGAGACCTACGTCACTGGAAACCACAGTACTTTATGGACATACTTTTTCTTATGTTCAGCTTCTTCCTTTGCCCTCTTCTTTTCCTCTATTAATCTCTTTCTCTTGGCTGCTGCTTCTTGTCTTCTTTTCTGTCTTTCCTCCAGTTCTTCTGGGCTCAGAATCTGCTTCCTTTTGGTGGACCCCTCCACTAGGCCTGGGATAAGAACCTGTAGGAAAGACAAGACCACAGCCAAGAAGATCAGAGACTTCCTATTCCTCTCAAGTCTCCTCCATCCTAAAGTACACTCCACAGAGGTAACTCGCGTAGGATTTCACAGAGCACAGCATCCCCTGTGTGGTGGGCACTGGCCGCCAGGTAATCCAATTTAACATTCATATTTTGCATCGCACTGGCACGGCGCGCAAAGTACTAGCATGGCTGGTAGTCATTTTGATTCATCTCGTTAGTAATAAGGTGCTTACTTTTTTCTTTGATTGAAAGCATACACCGTAGGATGGCATTTAAAGTTTAAATAATTTTAACACGAATCTTTCTACAAATGTACAATTCCTTTTAATACAGTATTTTAGCATGATTATCTTAATGTTAGCTAGATTTAGAAAACACATTCTAAGCACAAAATACTGTGAACATTACATGTATCGTTTATGATTGCCATCATCTCTTAATGAAACAGGGTCATGATTATCAACAGCAGGATATGGTATTTTGATGTAACATGGTGATCCCTTTAGGGTGGCTTAGAAGAGGGACAGGCCTACTTTTACCTGTATTCAATTGTACAATATACTCAGCTTATTAATGTTTTTTATACTAGATTTTTACATAGCTTTTTATATAGGGTTCAGTTAATTTGTTATACTTTAACAGACACTTATTTCTTAACAAATCATCCTAAGATATAATTTTTTGGAAGACTTTATGATTTCACACAAATTAACAGCTCTTACACTGCCTTTATTTCGGAGTAACCGGCCTTCTTGACTTGTTTTCTCCAAAAGGGTTTTCTGAAGATTCACCAGTTGTTCAAATGATTTTCTGTCTTCCTTACTGGGCTCTTTAGAATAATCTTTACCTTCGAATAAGTACATATGGCTTTCTAAGAACATAAAACACAAAGTGAGAAATGTTAAGACATTGAAAAACAGGTTAATGCTATTCAAAGCAATAACTAGGTGAATAAGAGAACAGCCCTTACTCTAAAGGGCAAAGACCAGCTTGTGATGAAGGCATTTCATTTCCTGTTGCACTGACACTGATAAGTTTGGGTTCTATACATGTTCACTTTTCAAAGGACAGAGCCTTGGCTTAAAACGCTTTTGGGTCTACCCAAGATGATATGGGAATCTCTGCTGGATCCCTCTACCCTGCTGAGTCTCAAATCACTCATTCATTCCACAACTATTCCCAGTGTAAATCTCACTGACTTTCAAGAACCGCTAATAAAATCTCTACTTTTTAATTCCAAACACACTTTTAATACTTTTTTCCCTTTTTCTATAATATTAAAAGGAACAAGTGGCAATTCTATGAGAAAATGAAAAAAAAATCACAAAAAATAATCCCTTGGATTTATAATATTCTTTACAGATCTCACAAAGCATCTTCATGTTTTTTACATCCATTGTGTTATAGCTAACCCCACTTATGAAAGGGGAAACTGAGACTCACACAGGGATTAAATGGTCTTTCTGCTACAAAATGAACATGGCAGGTTTTTCTAATTCTAAGATCAATATGTTCTTTTCAGTAGATTAGTGTGTATGGAAAAGCAGAAAAAAGCTTGCAAATAATCATGGCAAAAACAACAAGAACAATAGTATAATCTTTTTTCTTTCTTTAATTTTTGCAGTGCTGGGGATCAAACCCAGGGACTCACAAATGCTAGGCAAGAACTCTAACACTGAGCGGCACCCCCAGCCGATAGAATACTCTTAAGTAGCACTTTATGCTATCAGAGCAATTTCACATCTAGTATCACATTTGATTTTTGCAGCTGTGTAAAAGAGTAAAGCAGACATTAATAGCACCATTTTACAGATGAAGACACTAAGGCCCAATGAGGCTAGGTGGTCTGCCAAGATCATGAATCAAGTGATAACCAGCCAAGACCAGTAAACACAGATAGGTGGGATAATAATTCAAAAGTGAAATGTATGTAATAGCACGTTACCAAATAATTTTCACAGCATTATGAAATCAGCTATGTTTTCCCCAGAGAGTATGAAAGCAAAACATTTTTATTCTCAAGAGATCAACTGCTTCACACTTGTACCCAAATCTAACCAGCCATAATTCTAATTGGCATTTGCTAATTAAATCAGCTGGGGGCTCTCAAAGAGGCACTCTATCAACATGTGGAAAAAACATAAAGAGCTGAGAAGTTTCAATTATGATCAACATATGTAGTATCATACTGCATGAAATTCTCAGCTTACCATATAACTGTGCTTTTTAAAAAACTTGGCATTAAAGATAAAGCAACCTTACTTTATACTTAATTGTGAATGGGCTGCTCTAACTACTCCTCTTTCATATTCATTTGTTATTTTTAACCATGCTTTATGTCTTCACTCTGTTTCGAAGAGGCAGCTGGAGCCCACAGGTCTAGACCCTCATCTGGGTCCTGCCAGAGGAACCATCTACCACAAAGAGAATCAAGACAGTCATCGAAGACAACATTCCAAATTTTAATCCAAGTAGAGAATCCAACAGTTAAACTGTCTGCAAAAATGTAATTTTTTTGTAGGTAGACTGAGATATATAATTATCTTTCTGAAAACACTGCAATTTTATTTTGTTAATGTAGTAAATAAAGTCAATCTAGATGAGTATAGAAAAGGGTGGAAACTTGGTACTAAGGTAATGAAATACAACTTAAAAATATGACCACACACATCTATTTTTTCTCTCACCCAAAACAGCTAAAGGACAATACACAGATTTCTAAAAAGATATATGAGGCAATGGTAGATGAAACAGTGCACGAATTCTTTGGAAGATAAAAAGTGGGTAAGAAGAGAACAACAGATTCAGAAGAGCTGTGGAACCAAAACACTGGTATCTAGCTGGGGCTGACTGCAGGAACAGAAACCCTTTCAGTCCTCCAAAAACTCAGACGCACAAGCACAGGCACCACAGTATGGAGGAACTGAGAGGACCCGCACACCAAACACCAGGAGCACAACAAGCCCTCAGCTCCCTGTCTTTCCAATTTAAACCAACAATTTCACTGTAATGGTATAGGACTCGTCTTAGGATATAATGAGTTGTCCAGTGAAATCTTCAAATCTGGCTGTCTGAAAAGCTCCCCCAGCGCAAAAGCTGGCTTGCCAACCAGTGCTGTTGGCATGAGGCCCAAAGGCCACCCACCTGTTCACAACAGAGCTGCCTGTCAGCTTTGGGGCATTTCACCAGCACCCTGATCAGACAGGACACCAGATGTTTCAGGTAAACTGCTAACAAGAACAAGAGACTCCAAAACAAAATTTTTAAAAAGAAGAGGAAGAAGGAAAAGCAAATGGAGGAAAAAGAGATAATACAGTGGGCAGGGTAACACTTTTTGAAAAGATATAATAAATATCCTCCCTGAGATATATTTTAAAAAGCTATAATAAATGTCCTGGGGGAGGATATTATATCCTTGAAATGGGAATAGGATACGATTAAAACAACAAGCTGAGAACAAGAAAGAGTTCTTGAAGAATATAAATGTGATACTATCATAACAAATTTTTAAGATAAAACACAAGTCAAGAACTGTGTTCTGTAAAATAATGCCAGTTGCCTAGATTTTGAATTCTCCATATATTCCATAAAAACCACACCAGTCAACAAGGATAATCAAACCACCCCTAACCTAAGCCTACCACAAAATTAGGAGTCGGGAACTACTATAAACTTCCACTTGAAGGTAAACAGAGAATGAACATCCCAAACCAGCTGAGCTCTGAAGCCCTCACTGGTCTGGGGAGGCAGACAGAGACTGCACAGGAGCAGGACAGTGGGGCTCTAGCAGTGCCAGACAGATGAAGTTCATCCTCCAGAATGAGGTCACCCCAGGAAGGGAGAGCAATGAGGACGTCTGAGATTGGTAGTTCAGAGCAGTGGCTGCTTAGGAATTCAAAGGAAGGGCTGGAAGGAGACGCAGTCAGACATCTGGGGGCGCTCTGCTCTCGGGTGAGAAAGAGGTAATGCAGACAGCCTTCGACAGTCTATGGCAGGGAGAAAGAGAGAAGCAATGGGAGAAAATTCAGAAGGACAAAACCAAAAGCCTCGCCCAGCCCGTTCCCTTCCAGTAAAGGAAGCACCCTACTGAAGCCACTGTGCTTCTCTGTATTGATGGGAGAAAGAACTCTTTTTCTTGGGCGGGGTGGGGTGGGGTGGGGAGGGAGGTACTGGGGATTGAACTCAAGGGCATGAACCACTGAGCCACATCCCCAGCCCTATTTTGTATTTAATAGAGACAGGTTCTCACTGAGTGCCTCGCTTTGCTGAGGCTGGCTTTGAACTCATGATCCTCAGCTTCTGGAGTCACCGGGATTACAGGTGTGCACCACTGTGCCAGGCTAGAAGGAACTCTTAAGAAGCTCAGTAAGGGTGAAAGATCTATATAATGAAAATTACAGAACCCTAAAGAAAGAAATCAAAAAAGACTTTAGAAGATAGAAAGATCTACCTTGCTCTTGGATAGGCAGAATTAATATTATCAAAATGACCATACTTCCAAAAGCGCTATACAGATTTAATACAATTCCAATCAAAATCCCAATGACATTCCTCATTCCTCATAGAAACAGAAAAAACAATCATGAAATTCATCTGGAAAAATAAGAGACCCAGAATAGCTAAAGCAATCCTTAGCAGGAAGAGTGAAGCAGGGGGCATCACTACACCAGACCTTAAACTATACTACAGAGCAATAGTAACAAAAACAGCATGGTATTGGCACCAAAACAGACTGGTAGACCAATGGTACAGAATAGAGGGCACAGAGACTAACCCACAAAACTACAATTATCTTATAGTAGACAAAGGTACCAAAAACATGCACTAGAGAAAAGATAGCATCTTCAACAAATGGTGCTGGGAGAACTGGAAATCCATATGCAACAAAATGAAATTAAACCCCTATCTCTCACCATGCACAAAACTCAACTCAAAATGGATCAAGGACCTGGGAATAAAACCAGAGACTCTGCGTTTAACAGAAGAAAAAGTAGACCCTAATCTCCATCATGTGGGATTAGGCTCCAACTTCCTTATTAAGACTCTTTTGGTGCCAGAATTAAAATCAAGAATCAATAAATGGGATGGACTCAAACTAAAAAGTTTCTTCTCAGCAAAAGAAACAAATCTGTGAGGTGAATAGAGAGCCTACATCTTGGGAGCAAATCTTTACCCCTCACACATCAGATAGAGCACTAATCTCTAGGGTATATAAAGAACCTCAAAAGCTAAACACCAAAAAAAACAAATAACCCAATCAATAAATGGGCCAAGGACCTGAACAGACACTTCCCAGAAGATAATATACAGTCAGTCAACAAATACATGAAAAAATGTTCATCATTACTAGCAATTAGAGAAATGCAAATCAAAACCACTCTAAGTGTTGGCGAGGATGTGGGAGAAAAAGGCACACTCATACACTGCTGATAGGACTGCAAATTGGTGCAGCCAATATGGAAAGCAGTATGGAGATTACTTGGAAAATTGGGAATGGAACCACCATCTGACCCAGCTGTCCCTCTCCTCAATCTATACCCAAAGGACTTAAAAACAACATACTACAGGACACAGCTGCATCAATGTTTATAGCAGCACAATTCACAATAGCTAAACTGTGGAACCAACTTAGATGCCCTTCAATAGATGAATGGATTAAAAACTGTGGTGTATATGTGTGTGTGTGTATGTATACACACACACACACACACAAATGGAATATTACTCAGCAATAAAAGAAAATAAAATCATGGCATTTGCAGGTAAATGGATGGAGTTAGAAAAGATAATGCTAAGTTAGCCAATCCCCAAAAACCAAATGCCGAATGTTTTCTTTGATATAAGGAGGCTGATTCATAGTGGGATAGAGAATGGGAGATGGGAGGAACAACAAGCTCTAGATAGGGCAGAGGGGTTGGAGGGGAAGGGAGGAGGCATGAGGTTATTAATGATGGTGGAATGTGATAATTATTATCCAAAGTACAGGTATGAATACACGAACTGGGTGTGAATATACTGTGTATACAATCAGAGATATGAAAAATTGTGCTCTATATGTATAATAAGAATTATAATGCATTCTGCTGTCATATATGAATAAAAAATTTTTAAAAAGATCAGTAAAAACCCTCTCACACCAGCCCATATTGACTCCCTGTTGCTGATACAGGAGAACAGACATTTTAAAAATAATCATGAGAAAAAGAAAAAACAAAACAAAACCCCTTTCAAGTCTGAAATTCAAATATTTCAGAACAGAAAATGGACAAAAAGATAAATATTGGGGCTAAGCCTATAGTTCAGTGGCAGAGTGCTTGCTCAGCATGTGAGGCACTGGGCTCGATCCTTAACCACCAAATAAAAAAAAAAAAATAAGGGCTTGTTACCAATTATAAACTAAAAAAAAAAAAAGATATTGACCAAATTTGGGAAAAAAGAAAAAGGAAGACAAAATGATCTCCTACACCTCATGGGTCTTTTTTTTAAATATTTATTTATTTATTTAGTTAGTTTTCGGCAGGCACAACATCTTTGTTTGTATGTGGTGCTGAGGATCGAACCCGGGCCGCACGCATGCCAGGCGAGCGCGCTACCGCTTGAGCCACATCCCCAGCCCCCCTTTTTTTTTTAATATTTATTTTTTTAGTTGAAGTTGGATACAATGCTTTTATTTTTACTTCTGTTTTTATGTTATTTGTGCTGAGGATCGAACCCAGGCCCTTGCACGTGCGAGGTGAGTGCTCTACTGCTGAGCCACTACCCCAGCCCCCCACCTCATGGGTCTTAAAAGACCTAAAGCACATGACATAGTCAGTATTGTTGATGAACACAATAAATGTCCATAAATATTAGTTGCAATTTAAAAAACATTCTACTATTGAGAAGAGGAATCACTGTGCAAAGCACCATCATAAAGATAGCAGGTTTCACCAAATAAACTCCAGAGAAGATGTCTGCGTCAAGGGAGAAAAGGTTCAAATTTAATCCTTGAGACTGACAGGACCATAGACATTAATATCATCACTTGGATTCAAAGTACAGCTTCAAGGGAACAACGATTACTCTGGCAGTTCTTGGACCAGGAAGCCTTAAGAATGTCATCAGATGACTACAGGGCTGGGTAGGAAGGAGAGGTCCCCAGAGCAGGACACAGGACTTCCCGTGGGGACGCATCTCACTCACACCCCAGCTTGAGGTGACGGAGTCATTGGCTCACCTAACCCCAACTCACTTCCTTCCTCCTGCTCTCTGATCCCTCCTCCAGCTGCAGGCAGGGCATCAGAGGCCCACTGGCCATTTTCTGTCTCTCCCAGGATGGACTCCAGGTCTACCTCCTCCAGGGTGCTCCCCTCAGAAGACAGCAGTTTATCCAAGCCAAATTTCAGTATGTCACTCAACTTGGATGAAGAAAACGAGAGATCCAGTTAGTTCTCAAGAAAACACAGCTGAGGATGTGTGACTTGCTAAGTGTCTAACTGACACCAGGTGTTTCTTTCCCCGATGGACTTTCTTCTCTTCCATCACAGATGACACCTGCCAGGCTGTTCTGGAGTTGGATGAGGAATAAGCAGAGAGGTGATAAATGATGATCAGAGATGTTGACTTTGACAATTATTTACAATACCAAAAAAATATTTTGGCCTCCAATTTTTTTGAGGAGTGGGGGCAGATAAAATGATTTCCAGCATCTTCTATAGCACTCTCACCAGCATTTTTTACAGGTACTTCCAGCAGTCTGAGAGAAGTCAGAGACCCTGTTGGCTACCTTCTTACCTCTCCCACTGCCAAACTCTTATAAAGAGAAGGTGCCACTGAATACCTCATCTCACCATGAGCTGCCACCTGTCCTTGCCAAGCCGCTTTGCTACTACAGTGCTTTATGGGACCCACTTTGGCAAAACCATAACCACCCTGATCACCAGACCCAAAAGCCCTTTCTCAATTTCAATCTCCCTGGACAGTCCTGTGGCACTCCCCATCCTGTCCTCTTGCTCCCCCTAGGGCACAGACTCAGCCTACTTCCTACGGCTACAAGAACCAGAATCTTAGATAGTGTTACCTGGCTTCACTTGCTACTTGCAACTCTCCACCTCCCTAAGTACTATCTCTTAGGAATTCTGAACCAATTGGGATCCACATCATGGGACTTCATTTTCATTTTGCCCTTTTAGATTTGGTTAGTTATCTCTAGATTGCCTATTCTGTAACTTGGAAACTTTAGCTTGAAAATACCTGAGATGAAAACTATGACAAAAACTAAGCAAAACCATACCTGATATATTTATATTTAACCTTGGTGTACACATATATATATATATATATATATATATATATAAAACCAAGCCAAATGGCTTTAGCATTTAGTACCCAAAACAGAAGAAAGCCAAGTATTTATGATGAGGCTCAGTCCATACTGGGACCCTTCCCCCTTCCACTCCTTGGACTAAGTCTCCTGGCTTCCCTCGCTACTGCTCACTCACAACGTGTCTTTAAGGAACTACCCATTTTTTAAATGGAAACCACTTTATTACAGTAACTAAGAGCATGTAGTTGGAAGTTAAAGAGTGCTCGGATTAGAGTCATGAACCTGATGTTTGGAAAATTTCTTAAGATGGAGGTAAAGACGTCTATCTCATTTTTTTGTTATTCTTCTGAAACAACTGGAAAAAGTGCACGTCACACATGCTTAGCACACAGTAAGCATTCAATAAGTGTTCACCGCATCTTTATCTGTTCTGTTTCTGTTGTGTTCTCCTTGTAAGACAAGGAACCTGCTTTCCTTTTTCAGGACTTCACTGCTCTATATTGCTTAGATTTATCAAACCAGAACCACGTCTTTTACTATTAGATTCTTTTAATAACTTAAAAAATGTCCTGTTGTATTTTGAGACAAGGCAGTGAGTTATCACCCTTGTTCTTGGCAACCATAAATAACTCACAGTCTGGTGGGAAGGAAAGAATCAAGACAGAACCAGAATGTGATTTCTTGCCATGGCTTGGGCAGGAAGTCCCACCGAGGTCCTCTCCAACAGCCAATAGTTTGTACTGGCCCAAGGATCTGGTCCCATGGCAGAGTTTGTGCCTGTGCATTTCACAATGATGCGCTAGCAGCCAATGTCACAGGGAAACCCCTGACTGAATGCCTGGAGCTCCCTCCACTGGGGAAGCGTCGAGCATCTGAGAATTCGTCTCCTCTAACTCCTGATGCCTGTGCCTTCACAACAGCCCATGATGAGCTCCTGTCCCCAGGTCCCGTGAAGAAGTGTATCTAGACCCCTACAGTGTACACGTGCCTCTCTCTCAAGCTTTCACCTTGCATGTGAGATCGCCTCTTCAATAGTGTGAAAATAAAATGCACAGCCTGCCCGGCCACCATGACAAATGAGCATGCAGAAGACTCAAAACAGAAAAGGCCAAAGACTCCACAGTTACTCTCTAAGATAAACAAAACTCAAGCAAACAAACAAAACCTAGGGTTCTAGTACCCCCAAATCTGTGACCCTTTCCTGCAGGTCAATGACTCCCTAACAAAAACAGCACCATCCCTGTCTGCAATGCTGATGCGTAAAGATACAGATGTGAGAAAACTGCCATTTTTTAACTCATGCTTGGGCTAGTTGTAAATTTGATAATTCTGCTTGTAATACTGTGTAATTTTTTTCCTTTCATATACCTCTTGAATTTTTTGTTTGATAAGCTGATCCTTTTAAAAGCCTGGTTTTTCTTGCAAACTTTTCTAATTCCTTTCTCTTCTGAGTTTCCCTCTAACAATAATTTATATTGATTTTTACTACAAACTCTGTGGACTAAAGCCTACATTATTTTCATCTTTCTAATTTCTATCCCTATCTTCCTACTTTCTACTCTCATCTTTCAGGCTTAAAGGCTTAAAGCCATCTTTGAACTTGCTCTCTCTCACTGCCTGCCTCAAAACAAGAGCCAACTCCTGTCATTTCTCTGCAGTTTCCTACAGCAGACCTTCCCACAGCTACTACCTTTTGTCAGACATTTATTACTCTCTTCATGCCTGAATCATGCTAGATACTAGGGGTTGATCTCTCTGCATCTAATCCCTCAAAAGGACCTGGGGTATATTATAATATAGGTTCAATTTTATCTCAAAGGCTGCTGCTAAGCCTCCTACCAAAAGAGAGCTCTTTAGGATATTCTAAGCCAGCATTTGACTCCCATCTAATTTTTCCTTCTTCAAGCAAATTAACTCTAGTGCTTTCACCCCTATATCCTATGGCATAATTTTGAATTCCTAATCTTGTTCACTCATCTCTTGAGTATGGAATGAGTACTGTAAGTCACTACTCAAAGGGTCTGGGATTAAGGGGGAGGTATGGAACTAATCATCACTGATTAAAAAAAAAAAAAAAAGGAAGAAAAAAAAGAACTTAAACAAATTCTCTCTGAGGTAACTCGTGGCACACTCATCTTTAGAAGCCATGAAGAGATTAGATCCATGATGTTCAGTTACATGCTCAAAGTCATACATCCAATAAGGGATAAGATGTGAATTTCAATCCAAGTTAGATGGTTCAAAGCTCATTCTCTTTATTCTATTTTCTCTGCCTTTAAATGCCACCCTCATTTTTAGCTTGTATGGCACCTTGCATGTAGTTAGGTACTGAGAGGGTAAGAATTAGGCCAATGAAAAAATGTGTAATTTGCAACAATGGGTGGTTAATGCTGGTCCTTTTTATTTGCATTCTCATCCACAGAGAGTACTGGTTATAAATCATGAGACTCTAAAAAGAACACATTTTACCTGGAGGTCAGTATCAGCCAAAGGTTTCTGGGCTCCCAGAGTAAAATGGCCTCTTTCTATGATCGTGTTGGTGAGCTGCAGTTTGGAGGCTGCTTTCCTATAAACTATTTCTTCCACAGTGTCTCGGCCAATCAGCCGGATCACTTTGACAGCCCTGTACGGGAGAACAGTGTTATGAGTCTGCAAAGCTGGGGGAAAAAAGCATGCCAGGAAAATATACCTAAAAGGAAGCAGAACCAAATGCCACATTCAGGGAACAATGAAAAGGACACTGCTCATTGGGACCTGAGCATTTGTTAGAGAAATCTGGCCTCAACTTCTTCCTGAACTTTTCCCCAAAAGAGTAAGAGGAAGGAAGATGAAGTGACCACTATTGGGCCTACATGTGTAGCCAGGATAACGCCTGGCAGGCATGTTACCTCAAGTCAAAGGGTAGCTGAACACAACTTTGTTTCCTCTTTGTGGTACTGGGAACCCAACCCAGGGGAGCTTTACCATGAAGTTATATCCCTAGCCTTAAAAAAAAAGTTTTGAGACAGGGTTTAGGTAAGTTGCAAGGTTGGCTTTAAACTTGATCTTCCTGCTTGAGTCTCCCATGCTGATAATGATTACAGGCATGTGCACCCACTGGCTTTAACTTCATTTTAAAACTGAATTAGGATCTAACGTGAGAAACATGAACTAAATAAATTCTAAGTTTCTTCTAATCATTTTGGAATTTAACTGTTCTTTTCAACAAAGTGAGTCTGAACTGATCATGTGACCACTGATCCCCCAACATGACTCTACAAGCCAGCAGCACAACGGGGTTCAAACCCAGTGGTCTCTCAACTCCAACGTGGCACTGTTGTCAGGACTACACTGTCCACCTTCCTCCCCAATCCACAGCTGCAAGCCAACAGAGCAGAAAGGTGCCAATGTCTAACTCACTCACTTGTTCTGGCCAATTCGGTGAGCTCTGGCAGCTGCCTGCAAGTCATTTTGAGGATTAAAATCACTGTCAAAAAAAATAACAGTATCTGCTGCTGTTAAGTTCATGCCAACTCCACCTGAAAACGATACAAAAAAGGAGTATGATCAGCAACACACAAATAAGGAACTAGAAAACACACAAGGCAGGACTGGGTCATACTGAAAATCTGAAATCAGTCCAACTGACTGGTTTCATCCTTCAAACTGACATTTCTGCCCCAAAATTCAGGTTTTGACCACCCTACAGTGGTCAAAAGTGCTACCTCACCTTTCATTGCGTGAACTGGGAAAATTTAATTATCAACTATAACAGAATGAGAGGTAAGCAGAAGAAAAGGATGCTTAAGTTAATTGCGTGAATCCATTTAATATTTGTTTGAAAACCTTGATTGGATTTTGCTTCAAACAGTCTGTGAATAAGGACACAAGTTCTTTCAGAAAACAGCTCCAAAAATAAGAGGTCTGGGGGCTGCAGTTGTAGCTCAGTGACAGAACACAAGTGATAGAACACGTGAGGCACTGGGTTCCTTCCTCATCACCACATACAAATAAACGAAATAAAGGTATCATCTGTTATGGTTTAGATGTGGTGTCCTCCAAAAGCTCACATGTGACACAATGCAAGAAGGTTTGGAGGAGAAATGACTGGGATATGGCTTTAACCTAATCAGTGAATGAATCCCTAATGGGATTAACTGAGTGGTAACTAGGGCAGGTGGGTGTGGCTGGAGGAAGGGGTTCATCGGGCACATGGCTAAGGGGTATATATTTTGTATCAGGACAGTGGAGTCTCTCTCTCTGCTTTCTGATCACGATGTGAGCTGCTGCCCTCAGTCACACTCTCCTGCCATGATGCTGTCTCCCCTGGAGCTCCAAGGAATGGAGTCGGCCTTCTATGGACTAAGACCTCTGAAACCATGAGCCCTCCAATAAACTTTCCTCCTCCACAGCTGGTTCTGGTCACAGAGGTGAAAAAGCTGACTAAAACAGTGCCCATCTACAACTAAAAATATATCTTAAAAAACGAGAGGTCTGCAGTGGGCAGTAAGAAACGCACATGACCACACTTGCAGCTTCAACAAGGTAGGAGGACCTGACGCTAGCTATGAGAAGAGCAGATGATACCTGCCTCTGACTGGAGAAAACCTGAGAGTGTCTCCCTGTACTGGTTTCCACACTGATCAAAGAAGATGTCGTAAAATCAGTTCAAGACAAGAACACTCAATGCAACAACTCTCTGGTCTTTCTCCAATGGTGCAGGAAAAGGCCAAAAGAGCACTTTGGGTTCAGGAATTTAGAGTACTAAGAAGCAAACCACAGGCTTCCTCTTTGATTAATGTGGAAACTGTACAGAACACACTCTAGCCAGGGTCGTTGGAGCTCATTGCTAAAACAAGCCTAAAAGGGCTTGTTCCAAGAACTGAATGAAGGGTTCCTTTCCACAAGGACTACTAACTCCCGGCTGGATGTAAGACAAGCCAGGCAGGAACATTCTCATTGAAGTCTTCCTATAAAATCAAAGTTGGAATAAAGAAATACTAATGACTGAATACGGAGAAAGGCTAAGTTATACCCAATAATAAGAGCTACACTTCTACTTTATTACTGCCAAGCACTGCTCATGGCACTTTACATGCATTGACTCTTTTAACCCTCACAACAACCCTGTGTCCTTGCTAGCACTATTCTCATTTTGCAGATGCTGAAATGGAAACAGCTAGATGAAGGGATTTATTTGAAGTTGCACCACTAGAAGATGAAACAGTCAGGATTCCATCCCATATTCCAGAATCTGAGGTCATTACTCCTGGGACAGAGACAGGGTCTCACAGTGTTGCCCAGGCCGGCCTTGAACTCCTGGGCTCAAGCCATCCTCCTGCCTCAGCCTCCTGAGTAGCTGGGACTGTAGGCACGCACTACTGTGCCGGGCTCCAGAACCTTTTTATCCACTGTATGCTAACTATCGAGGCAGTCATCTCATTTGAAAATCTGTTTGTGTTCCATAAGAATTATCTTTCTCTTGAGTTAATAGTGGCTAGGGCAGCCCTTGTTCACCAAAGATGATATTTTAAGCTGCATTTAGTCGTTTGGGACATATTCCTAAGCTATCGCTGCCATCTGCCGGCAATATGTGGTAACAACCTCGTGGAAAGCTGGAAGGAAACATTAAATGAAAATGCGGCACATCTATAGCTACAACATGATGGCACGTATGACAGTCAGTGTGAGAAAAGGCTAATGTCCAGGACTGCTTCAGCTCCTAGATAATCTACTCTGAGGCCTCCAAGGAGATTAACTAATTTTAGATGTTTCAAACATTTGCTCTCTAAATATGAAAAATAAAATCTTAAATGCATAAATGGAATTCCTCTCCCAACACTGACCATGCCTTTGACCAGATCCTTTGAGCTTCCCCTAAGACTAATCATGAGACAATGGGATTGAATGACAGGGTGTGGTATATGACCTGGGAAGAGACTGGACCAAAGGAATCTGATTGTATCTTATTATTGGCTTTAAGAGAGAGGTAAGACACACACTGGAGAAATGATCTCCAGATACTCAAGGATCATATCTAACACTTCTTTTATAGACCCATATAGTACAAAGCACTTACTAAGTGCTTTCTATATAAGGGTGACCTTTCGTTCCATAAAGACATTAATCTCTCTTTCATCAAGGACACAATTCCTGTTTGTGTTCCTATATCTATTCCATCAGGATTACCATCAAAAAAATAAGACCATAGATTATGAATTCAAAATTAATTTAGGGTTTTTTGATTCAGAATGTAAGAAAAATTCCATTTCCCCAAACTGATTTCAAATTATTTAATACTATGTGAAAGCAACTGGCAAAACACCACAAGTGTCATTTATTTATGATTAAGTCATATGGACAATACCATAATAATTATAAATAGCTGTCAGTTTCACTCTAGTCACATTTTAAACAACAAATCTTTATTAAACTTTATAACACTCTTCCAGAGGTACTCCTGGAGGAAGGGAAACTAGAAAAGAGATTATCTTATTTTCCAAATTCATGGCTGGGAAGGAGAATGAATGAATGTGAATAAAACTTTCCCCAAAATTAAAAACAAAACAAAACAGGACGTTCCCGGTCAGTGGTCTAAGTGGATTAGAATTACTTTCCAACAGGCCCAGGTTTCAGCCTCACTTCTCACGATCACAGCTTCACAGGTTGAACAGAAAAGAGCTCTACACGAGAAGTCCAGTACTAGGCCACGTAAGTGCCTCGATTCAATACTCCTTGGTAAGAACCTCGCCTTTCAGAGAATTAGGGGAAAACGTACCAGTGGTGGGATGACTGTCTGCTTCCTCAACACCCCTGGGCTTACCTGCCCTGGTGCTCAGGAGAAAAACAAAGATGGGCTGCTGTCCAAAGTTCTTGATGGCCAGGTGTCTCTCTTCGCCTCTCACAGAACCGTCCACACGCTCATAGCTGTAGCCTTTACGTAGAGAAGACAACAACCACACACAGGTCCTTACTCTTTGCAAGGACTCTTAGGAAATAAAATAATCGAGTCATTCCTAAGCCAATGCCTATTTGTCCTTTCTACACCCAAGCCTGCCCTACTTTCAATAAAGCCCAAGGGAAAGAGCTCAATTGTTTTATAACTTGATCTTGTTTCTTATTTTATGTGGAACTGAGGATTCAAACCAGTGCCTCTCACATGCCAGGTAAGGGCTCTACCACTGAGCCACAACCCCAGTCTGAAAGATCTAAATTTAGGGGAACAATTCATCACTTCACCAAAAAAAAAAAAAAAAAAAAAAAAAAAAATCACCATAACACACTAGCCTGGGTTTTAAAAACACAGGCAGCCAAAGTCTTTGGCATTTGCAGAGTTAATATTTGGTTTTGACTCTTCCCAGGCCACCCTAAATATCCACACACTGGCAGTTGCTGCCTGCTGAGACACAATCCTGACTTAGGCAAGCAGTAAGACAAGCACTTGGCAGCCTGCCTGATGACCCAGCACCTACTTTTCAGTGAAGCTCTAGGGCTCTCCACTTGTCACCACGCATCAGGTCAGGAAGGGGAATTATAATCTCAAGTCATGTTTTGGCACTCGAGATTCCTCAATGTGCCAGTAGCTGAAGTGTCCAGTTACTGCAGTACTTGGGGGGCATCAAGTGGATCTGAGAGACCACTCTCAACTAAACTTTAAAACAGTTATTTCTGAGGCTGATACTCTCCCACAGGCTCAAAAATCAACCCCTGTTCAAGCTTTGTCCCATTATCCCACATCAATTTTATTATATATTAAGCAGAGTTCTCAAGTAACTGCCTACATTCCCTATTGTCACAGAAATAATTGCTCTTACCCTCCCGCTGCTTGATTTGTGGGATCTCCATACTATCAATCTTCATTTTCTTACTAATCCTGAATAAGTACACAACTGCTGAACTGTCACGAGACGCTGCAAGTGTTTGTCGCTGAAACTCCACTCACACATTTTTGAAGCCACTCAACATTTTCACAACGTCTGCCCCATACCCATCACCTCCATCACCTGGTGAGAATGTGTTACTTCTGCCCATGCGTCTCTACCCTGCTGTCGATCCTTGCTTCACACCCACTGTCCACTCTCCTCAGCCTTTTCACCTTCTTTGTCTTTAACCTTTTCCTAGGTAAACTTCCCACACCCCTTATGATTCTCAGATGATGTAGTGGCCAAGGGGAGTCACCTTTGTAGTCCATATAGTCCTGGAGAATATCCAACATCTGGGTCATCTGAGAGAAGAGTAAGACGCGATGGCCCCTGGCAAGAAGAAGAAAAGGAGAAACTGCCAACTCTAGTAGTGTTTAAGGGGAGTGACCCTCAGGCAAAATCTACCAAAGAGGACAACTTTACACATAAGGGAAATGCTAAAGTAGAAATATCAATGTCCTGTAACTTTCTCAGAAACTATGAATACTTTATACAAGAAGACAAAGTGCCTCCACATGTAGCTGCATCCCTCAGAGCAGTCCCAGGGCACCTGTCAATTCATCAGGGAGTGTGGAAGCCCTGGCGTAACCAAGGAGCCTCTTTCTGGAATATCACTTCACTCAATGAAAACAGAAGTTTCATTTCAATAGAAAAATAAATACACATGTGAAGAGTAAAGGCAAAATTCAAATATGTGTGCACCCGCTCCCCAAGATCCTGAAGAACTACGGAAGGCTATCTACTGCTATTCCCACTAGGAGGTACAAGTCATTACCATCTAGAAAAGTCGAGAAGCATGTTAGAGAAGCAATCCCCCATGGTACACAAGAAACTTACATATAGAGAGTGAAGAAAGGAAAGGAAAATTCAAAATAATGTAGAAGGAACAAAGTCAAGGTGACAGCCCTTCTTATCAGACATTGTTTTAAATTTGCCTGAACAAATAAGGACAATGCTGTTAAAACAACATTCTTTTTAAGAAAATGAACTTACCTTAAGGTTGCCAGGAGAGTAAGACCAAGAGTTAGGGAGAACATCGGCCAGACTCTAGCTCCAAATTGTTGGAAAAAGCACTGAGTTTGAAGGTGAGTACCTCGATTCTTATCTCTCTCTGCCACTTACTACCTATATGACATTGGGCATGACCTTTCGAGGTCATGAAAAACTTGGACGGAAGGTATCTATAGGTTCTTCTCCATCTCTAACACACACACTTATGGTAGATACGTCAAAGGCCATAAAATACAGTAAGACGTGTAATTTTGATTTTTAACAATTTTTTATATTTACGTTTTAGTCATAGTTGAACACAGTACCTTTATCTATTTTATTCTTTCAATTTCTTTAGTTGTAGATGGACACAATAACTTTGTTTTATTTATTTATATTCTTGTACGTGGTGCTGAAGATCGAATCTCCTGCCTCACGCATGTGAGGCGAGTGCTTAGTCACTGAGCTATTTATTTATTTTTGTGTGGTGCTGAGGATTGGACCCAGGGCCTCGCATGTGCTAGCTAGGCAAGCACTAGACCACTGAGCCACAACTCCAGCCCCAAGACATGCAATTATTTAATTTGCAAAAGACTGGGCAATTTTGACAAATCTGAAGTTTTAGGTTAGTTCAGGCCACACCTGGGGCAATCATCCTAAAGGCACAATTCTGAAATTCTTGAGTCTCTGGTCTTTTCCTAGACTCCCCCTTTCCTGTGGTGATGAAGATATACATGCTGGATACCAGGCTGCTGAACACTAACCAAATCTCATCTTCTGATACCCAACTTGCATTTCTGGGAAAGAGTATTCCCCAACTACGCCTTGAGTTTAAATCAAATCCCAAAGATTAACAAGAACCAATGTTTACTCAACCTTTACTATGTGTCAGTTCAACTCAAGGAAGCAGCAGGCAATTTTAAAAGAAATGCTCAGTGTTGACTCGTCCTTGTGGATGCAACCAACATAGTTGGACTGATGAGGTGAACACACACTGATCAACAAGGTAGCAGAGTAAGGCAGGGCTTGCCAAGTCCTGGACTGGGATCCTAAATACTGTAGGAATTCAGGAAAGAAAGGATAAAGGTGGAGGAGTGGGGTTGGATGAGATGGAATGGGGGGTGGGTGTACAGTTGCAGAGAAAGTAGGCCTTGAATTCCAGGCTTCTAAAAAAGGGAACTTGAATCAGTCTCAAGAATCAGTAAGTTCCTCATTATTCAGGTTTGAACCAGTCACTCCCTAGAGCAGTACATGTCAACCTATTCCTACCTGGAATGCAGGAATGCCAGCAGCTTATCCAGCAGGTGAAGTTTCCCACTAGCCTCAATCAGGTGGTCTCCAACTTCAAAAGGCTCTGGCTCCACACCTGGAAAGCAGAGAGCCCAATCCTAATGGTGTGCCCTGAGTCAGGGCAAAGTTCTTGAGTAGAAAACCCAATAGGTAGCCCACAGCAAGAGAGCCCAAGCTCTTTCTAATGCAGTAGGCCCTTCAGTCTCACCTATTCGAGGCATTTTGTAATTATTTGCTTAATACCACCTGCAGAGCCTGGCACATCCAAAAGTCTAATAAATATTTACCTAAGAAACAAACTCACTCTTTAGGAAACTGAGGGAAAGGAAGATGCCAGAGATCAAGAAGATCCACAAAGGAAATTCTAAGGCTCTCACTCTAGATAAGGAATCAAGAAATAGGCTTAGGTGTGTATAAAAGTGATTCTCAAGGTACAGGCGGCAGTCAGAATATTCTGGAAGATGTACTTCAAAATCTATGTTCCTAATGCCCCTCCTCCCTTAAAAAAAAAAAGTTCTAATGTGCACTTGATTAAAGTTCTGTTAAACTTTTAAACAGCTCATAATGCCACTTGGCAAAGACTCCTTAAAACAAGCACAGCAGACTTCCAGGGCCAGAGAATCACCCATCCGAGTGCATCCAAACCCCAATGGGAATGAAAATGAAACACTACACATAAATTTGTGGCAACAAGAGCAGTGCTTAGAGGGACATGTACAGAAGTCACTAGGATGAAAGGAGAGAGCAAAGGGCACAGAGCAGGAGCACACAGGCAGGAAGAAAGGCAGGAAAAACTGCTACCCCAGAAGCTGAGTGAAGAGCTTCCCAAGGAGGAAGCCATCTGCTGTGTCAAGGAATCTGAGAGGTTAACGAATCGTGAACTGACAATGCCTGGGCATCACAGAGAACACGGGGAACTGGGCGTAGTGACTGAGTGGGCTCAAGATGAAAGGAAATCCAATCCTGAAGAAGGGTCAGATGAATCCCCATTATGACCCATTCTGTAAACTGCCAGTTTTCCTCTCCACAACTGTCAATATCATGAAAGAAAGAAAAGCTCCCTGCCCTCCAAAAAAGCTTAGAAACATTTCTAGATTGTAGAAAAGTAGAGTCAAGGCAAATGCAATGGATCCTGCATTAAGAGAGAAAAAGGAAAGCAGCTTAAGGGATATTATGGGACATGTGAAGAAATCTTCAGTATGATTTACACTAGATATCATTAATATAGAGAAAATGAGAAAGGGCAGAGTAGACACAGTAAATGCAGCAGTTCTGTTGAAGAGTCCGGCTACGATTTTGGTTACAGAACTACTAATGAAAAATAATGGGGGGAAACAGGACACTGGCTCACCATCAAACAAATACGGGTGATCCACGCACTTTCGAAGCTGGGATAAGATATTCTGAAGTTTAACTTTCCTTGCCATCTCATTTTCAAATGCATCTGAAATTTTGAAGATAGAGAGGAAAAGGGACTAACAAATCAAAACACAAACAAAACACAAACATAACCTTACTCATTTCATAGTATTTCCCTCAAATTTATACTAACCTCCCAAATGGCAATCAACTGCACTGAGAATTAAAATCATATCCCTATGGGATTTTCTTACTCATCACTTTGTTTTGAGAAGGAAGTCTACAAGGTGAACTCAACAGTGCTTTGTTAAAACAATTGTAAACTTCTAAAATTTCTTCTTTAACTGCTATTGTGGTTTTAAGAGGGGAGAAAAAAGCAAATAGAGGATAAAAATCATGAATAGACACTTGAAAGTGTTTGCTATATTGCAGGCATAAGAAAAACCACGCAAGAGGAAAAAGGGAAATTCCATCATGCAACAACAAAGTCTGAGCTACACTTAACACTGCTATTGTTCCACGTCATTCAGAATACAAAATTCTACCTTATATTCTTGCTACACAAAGTGAGTGTAATCATAAAATATTTCCCTGCACAAAAATCACATCCCCTTTTAGTTTCTTAATGGACCAAGTGCCCTCTGAATACCTAGGTCTTTCATCAAAATAGCCTTGTAGTATTTTTTCTGCAGTGCTGACATGCCGTGGTATATCACGACTTCTGTCTTCTTGGGAAGTTCTGTAGCTACCTCTGCTTTCACTCTCCTCAGCAGAAACGGCTGCAAGAGGTTGTGCAGTTCACTTGCTGTGGAAGGAAAAACATACAAGAGTGTGGTACAAAAAAACAGCAGAGGCGCCGAACTACTAGAGAACATGGAGCAACTCACTTTCCTCATTTTCATGCTAATTCTGCGTTCTAGGTCAGTACAGTAACTTTTCACAGTACAGATGCTCCTGGACTTACAAAGGGATTACATTCGTATAAACCCATCACAAACTGAAAATATCTTACACGTAAAAAATGCCTTGAACAGACCTAACATACCAAACACCACAGCTCAGCCCACCCTACCTCAAATGTGCTCAGCACTTACATTAGTCCACTCGGCAAAATAATCTAACCCGAAGCCTCTTCTATGAAAAACTGTGAATACTTCATGTAATGTGCTGAATGCCTGTGACTAAACAACTGACAACACAGAGCACTGTGTGGTATCTGTTACTTACCCTCAGGGTCGCCTGAGTCACTGGGGAGTTGTGCCTCACTGCTGCCACCCAGCCTCACAGGACAGTACCCCACAACCTATCCCAAGCCTGGGAAAAGACTGAAACTCATGCCTTCTTATGGCTGAAGAGCATCCCATCCTGTATCTACACCACATTGTCTTTTTATCTGCTAATGCACATCTAGGTGAGCTCCACACTCTGGGTACTGTGAAGAGTGCTGCAATGAACACAGGAGCACAGACATCTCTTGACGTGTCAATCCCCTTCTTCGACTATATACCCAGTACGGGACTGCTGAATTGTACAGCAGTTCTATTTGGTTTTCTGAGGAAACGCCATCCTGGTTTTCACGATGGCCGTACCATCTCCATTCCCACCCTGGTGTCTCAGAGTTCCCCTTCCACCACAGCCTTGCCAGCGCGTGGTGTCTGTAATAACCATTCTAACGGGGGGAGGGGGTTTCCCAATTTGTTCCTGATTTGCATTTCCCTGATGATTATATTGAACATTCTAATATAACTAACAATAATGCATTTTATATCTTAAACCAGTTAGAAGACAGAATTCTGAATATACTCACCATAAAGAAATGATAAAAGTTTTGCTATATGATATGCTAATGACCTAAGTGATCACTACGCAAAACATCAACAGGTATAAATATGTACCTCAAAAATAGGTACAAATAGTTACACCAATAAAAATTTAAAATTCAAAGTACAGTTTCTATTGAATGTTGCTGCTTTTGTAAAGTGGTAAAGTCAAAAAATTATAAGCTGAACCACCATAATTAGAGGACCAATCATTTCTCCCTTTACTGGGTTCTTCCTATTCCTTCTGGACTTGTTACTGGCTTTTAGTCCCCAAACTATACCACTCAAAGAACTGGATTCTTCTTAGGAATAATCTCATTTCAAGACACTGTTTTCCAGGGTATTCTTCATTTCATCTCACTGATCAGCATAAAGCCTAGAAATGCAGCATGAGAAATACTGTCTCCATGTTTATGACAGTTAAGTGAGGCTCAGAGAAATCAGGCCACTTATCCAAGGACACACAGGTGAATGTGAAAATGGCGAGCATTAAAAGTGGATTTTTTAAAACGTCTAATCCCTTGTTCCTTTACAGGCATCTTAGACTTCAAAAGCTACACTAAGTTGGAAGTATACATCATGTAGGAAAACCAGAAACAGAAAACAAAAATACAATCAACCTGTTAAATGTTAAATTCAGATAAACAATTCATAGCTCTTCAATACCAGTGTGTCCCTTGTCATTTGTATTAGATGTCCCATACCTGACAACTCTAAACATGGGAGTAATCAATCAGAGCAGGTTCGCAGGTCATCTTTACCCTGTGGTTTGGGAATTTTTGCTCTAAGAACCCTCTGCAATTCATATTTAACCAGCACACACATAATCACTGGGTGGCCCCCTGCCATCTGTTTTGGACAATCATCCTAGGGTATTCAGATATTATGGGAATGTTCCACAAGGCAGAGAGGCAAAGGTATCTAAGAGAAAGCTACGGTTATACGAATGAAGGCTTCCCTTTTCCCTTCCACGTCCCAATCATCTCAAACTTCTGGTTAAAAGGAAAGAGCAGTGTTGCAGAATTCTTAACAGTAGTCTGGGAATATAGCATGCACTTACTTTTCTGCACTGGCAAGTGGCATGGAAAGTTAACAAAGTCTATAATTTTTATAAATTACAAGTTGAAGCCGCATGGTAACATGAACTTGAGGCATGAGGATGGTAAGCTGAAGGCCAGCCTATGAAACTGAGCAAGACCCTGTCTCCAATTTTTTACAAAAGGACTGGGAATGTATCCCTGTGGTAGAGCACCCCTGGGTTCAATCTCCATACCACAAAGAGAAAAAAAATTGAAAGAAAATTAGAAGTTGGTTTTAAAAAAACACACATATCAGTGGGTACTTTCTATTTTTTCCAAAAATGAACCAATAAGCCCCAGGGCAGAATCACGTAACAAACAAGTAAGAGCCATGGATAGCAGACAAGTGGACACCACATGAGGGACCATCATCTGCCTTATATCTGTGGTGGTTTTTCTCCCTGGAAGGCAGTCTCCGGTTATTGATTCTCTTCCTTTTCAATCTACAACTCTTATGCATTAGGGAAGTTTCTGTGTCAAGGTCTCTTGGGGATAATTTGCTGAATGGGAATTAACCTGATTTGGACTCTTTTTCAATATCCCGGTAACGTTCAACAAAATCCTCCATCTGTTCCTTGGAAAACAGGTCAGGTTCCACAAAACTGAGGAGAGAGTAGAGCTCTTGGAGGCTGTTCTGGATAGGAGTTCCAGTCAACAGGAGACTGAAGACCACCGAGAACTAGAATATGTAAATAAACACAATTAAAAATCTCTACCACTGGGAAGCAAAACCAAGTGACCCATCACAACATTTATTTGAACACAGAGGGACATGATCTAACACAATGAACCAAGGTAAATGGAATCAGAAGGCTCAGGTTCAAGTTGTACACTCTATTTAATGTGAGAAATAATACCTCTCCAGTTTCAACTATAAGGAGGGGATAATAATCTGTAAGAAGACACTCTTGTAAGCATGTAAGTGACATCGCGTTGTAAACTCTTGAGTATTACATGAGTATTCACTAGGGTTACTAAATGCAATCTATGTGAGGAGTCAAACTATGTTATGACCTACATGGGGGAATTAACGGGAGTATCTCAGTAAACACATTCATTCAAAGAGTTTGAGAAGCCAGAGTTATTTATAGCATCAGGCCTCTATGCTACAAGCAAGCAGCAAGATTTACACTGACACAATGTCTGTTCATAAACTTTGCAATATATCAGAGTCAAGATATCAAAGATTTCTAGATGTTTCTGGATAGTAAGCCATGGACAGTCCAACATAAAAAGGGATTCTGTAAATTTTGAGAAACAGGGCTGGGAATGTGGGTCACCAGCAGAACGCTTGCCTAGCATGCATGAAGCCCTGGGTCAATCCCCAGCATTTCCAACAGAAAAAGGAAAAACACTGAGAAACAGGTAGGAACACAGAGGATAAGAGACTAATGAAGGAAGAAAAACAGTAACAACAGATATCAGGCCAAGCAAGGTCAACCTCTGAGCTGACATTAACAAGAACTTACACCAGCAAAATTAAGTAATGTGGAAAAGTCACATCCTATGCATGTATATTATTTTAAATATAGAGTACAAACTCTTGGGAAGGACACGTAATCAAGGGTCCCTAAAAAGAAGGCAAAGAGGACAACAGAGATAGAGGATGCCCTACCAGGCAGGGGATAACAATATTTGAAACTAATAAAAATGATGATATCTTCAGTAAAAACTCTAAACACTGCAACTTTTAGGCCAATAAATATTAAATACATAATCCAGGTCTAAGATTTTCCTCTAAATGACCTCAAATTTAAGTGATTTATTATAGGATGAGGACCAAATTTTGATTATCTCAGAAATTAACAAGTGTGGTCTCATGAATGAGCAAACTTTCAGGTCAACAAGGAGAAGGTACTTCACATTTCATTGGCTTCTCAGAAACAAGGGCAACTCCAGGCCACAATGATCTTTCTCATCTACTTTGCCAAATGATACAAGAGATCAAGAGAAGGGAATGCAATCAAGTGTATCATACTAAAAATACAACAGACGAGAGACTGAAGGCAATATGCTGTAAGAAATTGGTCTCTTCATGACTCCATGTGAACGGTAAGTTTCTAACTAGGTAAACTGGGGGAGGCATAAGGTATATCCAATGCATCTGCAACTGCAGACAGGAGTATAAGATCTTTATTTGTAAAAAAAAAAGAGAAAAATTAAAAGCACTCAAAAGAGAGTTGAAACATCTCCAAAAATACAATGCATTTTATTGGGGTAGGGTCTGACACATTTGATAACTAGATTTTAGTAAATGTTATCTTCTATATAATAGAGAAAGGAATAGTAATTAGCCATATTAAATACTACTTTTGTCACTGCCCTCCAAAACAGGTTTATTTAGCTCTGCAGAAGTCTGACTATAAAAGTTTTAATTTATGAGATGGACATCATTATCCGAAGTACATGTATGAAGACACGAATGGTGTGACTCTACTTTGTGTACAACCAGAGATATGAACAATTGTGCTCTATATGGGTAATGTGAATTGTAATGCATTCTGCTGTCATATATTACAAATTAGAACAAATAATAATAATCATAAAGTTTCCATTTAGTTGGCTCTGTATAGACTAGACTAAGTGGTTTCAAAGGGGAGTTAGAGGGGAGAAGAAACGGTGGACAGATGGGTATAGGATTTCTGAGCCAGGAAACCCGCTCTGCATGATACTATCGGGTGGAAACATGCCATCGCCTGTTGTTCAAACTCACAGGACACGCAACAGCGAGTGAATCCAGCATTACGGACTCTGGTGACACTGAGGTGCCAACGTAGGTTCATTAGTTTTAACATCTCTCTTCAGGGAGAGGCTGAGAATGGGGGAAGCTAGGCTTGTAAAGGGGCAGGGGATATATGGGAACTCTCTGTACCTTTTATTCAATTTTGTTGTAAACCTAACTTGCTCTAAAAAATAAAGTCTATTAAAAAAGGAAGGGGGGTGTGTAAAAACTAAGACTATCCTTTGAGTTTACCTCTGAGAGTGTCTTATGCAGCAGAGAGCTTTGGCTTTTCAATCTGTGGGCTTCATCCACAACAAGAACACTCCAGGAGAAGCTGTGAGAGAAAATCCAAACTTTCAGTTTTGTGTAGCTCAAACATATTTCACAACCACATCTTACTATACAATTATGACGTGTTAGAAAGACTAACAGCCCACTCTGTTAGAAGCATACCTGGCATCGTGACCTTCCTATCATGAAAGGTTACCATGTGCTTTGTTTGTTTCCCTCAGATGAGAAAGATCTATGCAGAAAGTAAGGAGCCGGAGACAGAAATGAAAGGATACGTTTGTCATATTGTACTATGTACCAGACATTGCACTTGTGGCTTTATGTGCAATTTAATCCAAAGAATAAGACAAGTAACCATAATTGTGCCAACAAGGACACTAAAACTCTGATAGGCTAGGTAACTAGGTCAAGATCATAAGGGCAGAGCAGATACTCAAACCCATAAGAAAAATCAAGAGACAGTGATGTCACGGCAGCTAAAGGAGTAGGACTTTAAAATGGGAGAGTGGTGAACAGGATCACGGAGATGTCCAGGATGATGCAGCCACTGGACTTGTTAACGTGGAGGTCACTGGGGGCTGCTGCCACAGCATGTTTATAGTATAGTATGTCACGAGAGCAATTTCTCAAGAAGTTTCAGTCCTAGAATCATATTTTTAACAGATGCTACTGGTGGAAAGCTGTTAAAAAAATCCAAAATATGGAAAAAGATTGGATGATATTCTAGATGCATTAACTTAAAATAGCAAAAAAATGAAAATAAACTATCTAATAATAGGTGATAAAATGATAAATAGTAGCTGCAAAATACAATAATGAAAAAGGTATAAATATTAAATATCCTTTTAAAAATGTGAAAATCATGCAAAAGATAATAAAGTGGGCGTTATAAGACTTTTAAGTTTTTAATTTTATTGGTAAACATCATGGAATCCCACTGCATTATTTTTGCACTTGTAAAACTAAGTGTGTCAAACAAAAAAGTGAGTAAGGAAGGACAATACTTGAAAAATTAAAACAAGTGTCTGTGTAAAGGCTGGCCTACAAAAAGGAAGCCTTCTTTCCAATACCACGACAGACACTACAGACATACAGGAAGATAATCAGAAATGATGTTAAAAACTTATACTCCAATAAAATAGAAAACCTCAAAGACATCGACAAATTTCTAGAGTCATATGATTTGCCTAAATTGAATCAGGATGAAATACACAATTTAAACAGATCAATTTCAAATGATGATGGGCTGGAGATGTGGCTCAAGTGGTACTGCGCTCGCCTGGCTTGCATGCGGCCCGGGTTCGAGCCTCAGCACCACATACAAACAAAGATGTTGTGTCCGCTGAGAACTAAAAAATAAATATTAAAATTCTCTCTCTCTCTCTCTCTCTCTCTCTCTCTCTCGCTTAAAAAAAAAAAAAAAAAAAATTCAAATGACGAAATAGAAGATACTATCAGAAGTCTACCAACCAAGAAAAGCCAAGGACTGGATGGATACACAGCTGAGTTCTACAAGACCTTTAAGAAGAACTAATACTAATACTCTTAATTTATTTCAGGAAATAGAAAAAGAGGGAGCACTTCCAAACTCATTTTATGATGCCACCAATATCACCCTGATTCCAAAACCAGGCAAAGACATATCAAAAAAAGAAAACTTCAGACCAGTATCTCTAATGAACAAGATACAAAAATTCTCATAAAATTCTGGCAAATGGAATACAAAAACTCCAAAAAGATTGTGCACCATGATCAAGTGGGATTCATCCCAGGGATGCAAGGTTGGTTCAACATAACAGAAATCAATAAATATAAGTCATCACATCAATAGACTTAAAGATAAGAATCATATGATCATCTCAATAGATGCAGAAAAAGCATATGACAAAATACAGCACTCCTTCATGTTCAAAACACTAGAAAAACTAAAGATAACAGGAACATATCTCAAAATCATAAAGGCTCTCTACGCTAAGCCCCAGGCCAACATCATTCTAAATGAAGAAAAATTGAAGGCATTCCCTCTAAAAACTGGAACAAGACAGGGATGCCCTCTTTTACCACTTCTATTTAACACAGTACATGAAACACTGGCCAGAGCAATTAGACGAAAGAAACGAAAGGGATACATATAGGAAAAGAACTCAAATTGGCATTATTTGATGATGATACGATTCTACACCTAGAAGACCCTAAAAGTTCCACCAGAAAACTTCTAGAACTAGTAAATAAATGAATGTAGCAGGATATAAAATCATCACCCATAAGTCAAAAGCATTTCTGTATATCAGTGACAAAGCCTCTGGAAAGAAATAAGAAAAACTATCTCATTCACAATAACCTCAAAACAACAACAACAAAAATAAAACAAAAACAAAACAAAACAAAAACCCCAGAACACACACAAAAAAACTTGGGAATCTACTTAAGGAAAGAGGTAAAAAATCTGTATAAAGAAAATTATAGAACCCTAAAGAAAGAAATCAAAGAAGGCCTTAGAAGATGGAAAGATCTACCTCGCTCCAGGATAGGCAGAATTAATATTTTATCAAAATGACCATACTACCAAAAGCAGTATACAGATTTAATGCAATTCCAATCAAAATCCCAATGGCATTCCTCATAGAAACAGAAAAAGCAATCATGAAATTCATCTGCTAAGATAAGAGACCCAGAATAGCTAAAGCAATCCTTAGCAGGAAGAGTGAAGCAGGGGGCATCACTATACCAGACCTTAAACTATACTACAGAGCAATAGTAACAAAAACAGCATGGTATTGGCACCAAAACAGACTGGTAGACCAGAATAGAGGGCACAGAGACTAACCCACAAAATTGCAATTATCTGATATTAGACAAAGGTGCCAAAAACACACACTGGAGAAAAGATAAACTCTTCAACAAATGGTGCTGGTAAAACTGAAAATCCACGTGCAAAATGAAATAAACCCCTATCTCTCACCATGCACAAAACTCGAGTCAAAATGGATCAAGGACCTGGGAATAAAACCAGAGACCCTGCATCTAATAGAAGAAAAAGTAGGCCCTAATCTCCATCATGTGGGATTAGGCCCCAACTTCCTTAATAAGACTCCTTTGGTGCCAGAATTAAAATCAAGAATCAATAAATGGGACAGATTCAAACTAAAAAGTTTCTTCTCAGCAAAAGAAACAATTTGTGAGAGTGTACATCTTGGGAGCAAATCTTTATCCCTCACATATCAGACAGAGCACTAATCTTTAGGGTATATAAATAACTCAAAAAGCTAAACACTAAAATAAATAAATAAATAAATAAATAAATAACCAACCAACCCAATCAATAAATGGGCCAAGGACCTGAACAGACACTTCTCAGAAGATGATATACAATCAGTCAACAAATATATGAAAAAAATGTTCATCATCGCTAGCAATTAGAGACATAAAAACCAAAAGTACACTAAGATTTCATCTCACTCCAAACAGAATGGCAGCTATTATGGATACAAACAACAATAAGTGTTGGCGAGGTTGTGGGAGAAAAGGTACACTGCTGGTGGGACTGCAATTGGTGTAGCCAATATGGAAAGCAGTATGGAGATTCCTTGGAAAGCTGGGAATGGAACTACCATCCGACCCAGCTATCCCACGCCTTGGTCTATACTCAAAGGACTTAAAAACAGCATACTACAGGAACACAGCCACATCAATGTTTATAGCAGCACAATTCACAATAGCTAAACTGTGGAGCCAACCTAGATGCCCTTCAGTAGATGAATGGATTAAAAAATGTGGCAAACATACACAATGAAATATTACTCAGCAATAAAAGAGAATAAAATCATGGCATTTGCAGATAAATGGATGGAGTTGGAGAATAATGCTAAGTGAAGTTAGCCAATCCCAAAAATCCAAATGCTGAATGTTTTCTTTGATATAAGGAGGCTGATTCTTAGTGGGGTAGGGAGGGAGAGCATTGGAGAAATAGACGAACTCTAGATAGGGCAGAGGGGTGGGAGGGGAAGGGAGGGGGCATGGGGTTAGAAATGATGATAGAATGTGATGGACACTATTATCCAAAGTACATGTATGAAGACACGAATGGTGTGAATATACTGTGTAAACAACCAGAGATATGAAAAAAACGTGCTCTATATATGTTATATGAATTGCAATGCATTCTGCTGTCATATATAAATAAAAAAACTAATATAAAGAAAGATAATTAACCCATAATGGATGTGTTGGTCAGCTTTCTGCTACTGTGACAAGTAGCTGAGATAATGAGTTTATAAAGAGAAAAGTTTTACTCTGGCTCACAATTTTGGAGGGTCAGTCCACCCTCAGCTGGCCCCCTTGCTGATAAGCACATCATGGCAGAAGGGCATGGCAGAGCAGGCCAGCTCTCTCAAGGCTGGGACACAGAGAGCAAAGAGGAGGAAGAGGCTGGATGCCTGCTACCCATTCCAAGGACACACCCTCAGTGAATGACCAGAAGACATCCCATGAGGGCTCACCTTTCAAAGGTTCCACACACTCGCACCAGTTTCATGCTGGGGACCAAGACTTTAACATATGAGCCTTTGGGAGATACACAGGATCCGAACTCTAGCAGTAACTCTCAATAAGTACTAGCTGTTAATAATATCATCTTCTTCCTCACTTTTACTCAACTCTTTTTTAAGCATCTCTCATTTTCCCCTCTTATTTAAATCATTTAATAAATATGTTTGCACAGTTCTTGTGTCCCACAAGCAGTGTAAGAGGAATTTTGGATGGAAGGAATTAAATGTGGGAGATCCGATCACAGAGGCTCACAGTATAGGCGGTGGGCAGGTTAATAAATACACCGGCACTCTACCTACTGGTGAGCACATGCCACCCTTTTGCCTTTGTTTCTGTTTGTCTACATCTGCTACAAGACTACACACCCCTGAAAGTCAAGGTCAATGTCTTAATCTTCTCTATCCCTATGGCCTCATCTGGACCATGATTCAATAAATATTTGCAAAACAACAACAACAACAACAAAGGAAGCCTTCCTCCTCAGGCTACAGAGAAAATTGAGAGGAAGACAGCCAGAGACAGACACTCAGCTAATGAGAGTGGAGTAGGAGAAGACTGAACTGGGGATCCAAAGAGAGGGCAGGAAGTCCAAGGAGAGCACTGGGCAGAATAAGCAGGGGATGTATTTAGGATTACAAGGAGACAGGGTCCCCATGAGGTTGGACGGTGGTTATGACATAGGTGGTGAGCGTCCATAGTATAGTGCCACTCAAAACAGACTAGGTCTGATTCCTTTGGAAGGACTAGACACAGATATGTATATACACAAACATCTAAAAATGCTTATTCAATGCAAAAGGCTAAGTGAAGTGGATTTTGGTTCAATGAGTGAAAGTGGATTGAATCACTCATCAAAGGAAATTAAAGACTGTTTCCCGGAAACGAAAGTAGAGGGAATTCCAACACAAGAATGGAGAGTCCAACAAGGGAACTCCTGATCTTCTCGATCCAAGATTTTACAAGCCTACTGCCTGTTGTCCAAAAGATTTCAATATTTCATGGTGATAACACACAACTTAAAAACGGCCTTCATAAACCTCTTGAGTGCAGATTTTATCACATCGCCTATTTTCAGAATGTAAAATATAGCAATGGAGAAATACAACATTAACAAACATACTAAAAGAAACAACTGTGCTGTTGGGATTCTTGCTATGAGTCAATATTATAAATGTCCCTTTATTACTAAGGCTCTTAAATCCACCCAGAAATGCATTCAGAACAGATTGAAATATAAAAATGTGTTTCTGCTGAATAAGGTGACATTTCAGTGCTTCTACAGACTTAGAGACGCACTCTTAAAAACACGGTCCAGTGCCTGGGGCTGTGGCTCCTCAGTAGAGCACTCGCCTAGCATGTGCGAGGTCCTGGGTTTGATCCTCAACACTACATAAAACTAAATAAATAAAATAAAGGTGTTGTGTCCAACTACAACTAAAAAAATAAACATTAAAAAAAAAAAAAAAAAAAGAGGCCCAAAGCACCAAGTGCTGGGTTTGAATGTCTACTCTGCCTTACCTGGATTCTTGATCTCTTAATTTCCTTGTTTGTAAAATGAATAATCATCCCTGCCTACTAGGATTTTCATGAAACCAAAATGGGACAATTTACATAAAGTACCCAAGAACATTTATGTCCCAATCTTATTACCTTCTGAGACCTGCCAGATAGTACCGTGTTTCATGGCTATCTTTGTACTCCTCATCCCTCTACTGTACAGACCATGGGGCAGCTCTATGGTTTACTTTCCTGGTTATTACCAGTAACTCCCTTTCCATGGAGAGACTTCAAAACAAGACAAGTTGGATATTAAGAAGACAAGAAGAGCTGGGGTAAGGACTGAGTGGTAGAGCAGTTGGTAGGCCCTCAGCTCAATGCCCAGAACCATAAAATGAAATGACATGAAATAACGTGACACGACATGAAAATCATAAGGTAAAAAGAAAGAAAAAGAGGGAACACATCATCTGCTCATTTAAATGTAAATTAAGTAAAACAAAATACTGGATGGAATCATAAAATCTTGGGCCCAGTCTTCAAAGTAAGAGTAAAATAGAAACTCATTTACAACAATCTGGATGAGGAAAAAATATTTACAATATTGATCAGGCCCTTTGAGAACAAAACCTTCTGAGTATGAAAGATGCACACAGGGCACGATGGGGCACACCTACAATGACAACTACTTGGGAAGCTGGAGGATTGCAAATTTGAGTCCCGTCCCAATGACTTAGTGAGACTATCTCAAAATAAACAATGAAAAGGGCTGGGCATGCAGCTCAGTGGTAAATGCCCCTGAGTTCAATCCCCAGTACCAAGACATAGTTAAATGGACAAATTACAAGTACACTTCAAACTTCTTTTCCAAATAGTCAGTTCTATCGCACTGACTGCTACCTGGTAATTGCCAGGAAAAGGCTCCTATACTACAGTGAGATCTCAAGCAGCAGTCCTGACAGGTGTCTGTGCAGTCACAATGTAAAGAATCCAGTGTCCAGGCTGGATGCAGTGGCCACCTGTGATCCTGGAGACTCTGGGAGCTGAGGCGGGAGGATCACAAATTCAAGGCCTTCCTTGGCAACTTAGAAAGACCCTGTCTCAAAATTTAAAAAATTAATAAATAAAAAGGACTGGAGATGTTGCTCAGTGGTAGAGTACTCCCCAGTACCAAAATAAAACCAAAAAACAACAATAAAAATCTGCTAGTAATAAAAATCTCTAGTAATCTGCTAAACACCAACCATGTAGATTTAATCTCAGTTGTCACAATAGTCATCCAAAGTAAGAAAGGTAACTACCCCCAGTTTACAGATGAGGACACTGAAGTTGATGGAAATTAAGAAACCAACCCAATAACACATAGCTAATGAGTAGAGGTTAGATCACAGAATTCCCACCATGCCTGCCTATACATCAACAGGGCCCAAAGAAGACAGACCAGACATATCAGGAAAGAGGCCAAGTATCAAAAAGTATAAGACACGACAAGACTTCCACACATTCAGCACAGTTTCTGACAGGGTACAGTATACTCACGATTTTAGAAACGGTGCATCTTTCAAGCAAATCTGAAAAATGAAGGAAGACACATTAAAAAGACTGGTACTGCTGGGCATGGTGGCCCACACCTGAATCCCAGCAGCTTCTGGAGACTCAGGCAGGAAGGCGGCAGGCTCAAAGCCAGCCTCAGCAACTTACTGAGATTCTGTCTTCAAAAATAAAAAAGGCTGAGGATTGATTCAGTGGTTAAGTACCCTTAGGTTCAATCCTTGGTAACAAAAGAAAAAAAAGTTAGAATTAAAAAAATAAAGACTGGTATTGATAAATTCTGATTATTAATAATCTAGTTTCTTATTTCTTGTTAACTCTCTTAAACCAGAGGATCTAAGCCTTTAACTTGTTTACTAAGTTAAAAACTAAGCACAATTTCTAAGTAGCACTATCACACAAACAGATAGAAGTTATGGTGAAGTAGAAGGTCTTACAGTTGCCCAGTCTTACTTAGATAAGGATTTAAAACAAGACTGAAACTAGGCATCCTGCATTCCTATCCCCCGGTTATCAGACATGATGCCTCTGTACATGAAACCCTCTGCCCTGCTGCCTGCCTCCTCCTGTTCATCCACAAAGTGGCAGCTAAAGTGCCACTTTCTGGGAAGCTTTCCCCTTAATCCACAAGTAGAGAGGGAAATATGTCTAGCTAGCTTGAAGCACAGTGATTCTGCACTTCGTTTGGTCACAGTCCCTCTTTGACAATGTGATGAAGGTGGATGTCCTCCTAGAAAAATGTGTGCCCTCAAAACAAAAGTCAATATAATTCAGTGGGTTCTACAACTTCTAAGGACCCAGGTTAGGAGAAACGAATGAATACCTCATAGGTAGTCAGCAGCACATGAAAACGTGACTTCTGTTTTAGGTCTTGCTGAAGATGGGCTCTTTCCTCCTTGTCCCCTGCATATGTTACACAAGAAAGACCTGGAGCAAATCTAAATCCAAGAAAAGAAGCAGATGACCCAAATGCCACAGCCATGAGATGGTGTGTGCATGTCATGGACGGACTGCAGTGTGCAGACGCCATTCATTCGGTGCTGGTCACAGAACTGTACCTAGAATAATGGTTAAACCCCAGGGTAAGGTCTGTGTTAAGCAGGGAGAAGGATCAGGTCTAAGAGGGTCTCGTGCTAACTAAAAATGCAATGATGTTTCTCACTTTAGTTACTTCCTATGTTACTATGAGAAGGACAGTTTCTCCTTTACATCAGCAAAATTTACTGAGATAAGTACTAGCCTTTAAATTGTAGAAGGGTAACAGTAACACCCACTGGATCCTCCCCTATCAGATCTTGTGTCTTGCCTACACTGTTTCAGTTCAACCTTTCTGGAATAAAATCATTGAATATGACAAGATTTTGCTTCATGATCTTTTATCCATCATCTAGAAAAATATCTTAACATAAACAATACAAGAAAAGCTACATCTACTCTGTACCTTTCCATTTCTTCTTTCCAGTTGTTCAAAACAGACAGAGGACTGAGAATCAGAAATGGTCCTTCATCATTTAACCTTCCCGTCAAGTAAATGAGGAGAGCAATCGTCTGAAACAAAGCAGGCAGTTTTGATCACCTTTCCAGGAGACACAACCATAAAGTTCCCACAACCATAGGCAGAGAACACAAACTGTTATACATGACTTGCTTTATAAAGAAATTCCATACAATCTTCCACATATTAGGAAACCAGTACATTCTTAGAACGACATCAGGTAAGCTCAGTGACTTTGCTAAGGAAATTGATGGTGTTCAATTACTTTAGGAGTTAACGAGCAATGAGGCTCAATATTTATGTAACTGAACCAAAGGGAAAAACGTCAGGAAAGAACAGAAATCAATGAAAGCAATACACCTGTTGGAAAACAGCAGGAGTACTTTGAAAATATTAAGCCAGAAGTGCTAAGACCTGACAGCAAACAGTACATGCACATCACGGCCTTGGCCCTTGGCTCGGCTGCTCTGATGAGAGTGCTTTCCTTCCTCCCCAACTTTCTCCCTCCTTCTATAACCATTTAGAGGGTGCCTTCTGCTGGCTCAAGTTCTATGTGAACAAAACAGATACAACCTTTGGTCTTTCATAATGGGTGCACTATAATCATACTGTATAGGGGATCCATATGCCATAGTTGTACATGCATACATCTACAACACACATTCAAATGCAGAAAACAGACAATAAATCATTCTCACAAGAAGTATGAGTATGAAATGAAACTTTGCAAAGCCAAATGTACATACTTCGGGACATGTTTGAGTACACTTATGTCTCTAAAGTTGCTCTCAACAAACAAAAACACGTGAAGAGCTTGCATCCCCAAATACTGTGCTATTTCTGAGGAAAAAATATGCCCTAAGGATCAAATTCAAAATCCTGAGAAAACTATAGGCTCAAAGGTGTTCACATCAAAATTAATTTAAGTAACCCAAAAAAGGGGGAATTCATGATTCCTCATCAATAGGACGTTTAAGCAAATTATAAATTCTCGATGGCATACTATGCAGCCAGTTGAATGATTGTGAATATAATAAAATGCAAAACTACTGTGCTGATGTTACATTAATGAAGAGAAACCATATGGGCTAGATGTGCACTGTAACTTCAATGATGTAAAACATACCTTGCTGCTTACGGCTGTGGTTAGAGTGCTGTGATGACAGAGTGGCAGTTCTTTTTTTTTTTGGCACAATCATATTAATCTTAAAAAGGAAATGATTTTCTCATTTAACTATCCCAGCCCAAAGTGTGCCCAGAGCATCCCTCTAATAAGTGGCTTAACTGGATTAAAACCATTCTGTTGAGTGCTCCCTGAGGATGCAATTTAGAGAAAGTTTGTCTTTTATTACCACAAATCAGAAGTGTCTACCAAATAAATTTAGAGTCACTAGTGAATTTTATCAAACATCTAAAATGGAAATGAGAACAATTTTACATAAACTTTTGCTGAAAATTGGAGAGGAACACTTCTCAATATATTCTATGAGGCCAGCTTTACCCAAATACTAAAACCAGACAAAATTAGTATAAAAAAGAATATCACAAAACAATATCCTTCATAATGTAGATGCAAAATTTCTAAACATACTTTCACCAAAACAGACTTGGAGTTGGTATTTTTTTGGAGAATTTAAAGTAGAGGTGGAAAGGCAAAGGACAAGTGGAATTTGCTGGCTCTCTGTGAAGTCAGTAGGACAATTTCAATGACTGAGACAAAGGAGATTATAGGGAGGATACCTCCAGGAAACTGATTTTTAGTTTCATAGTTCTCGTACAGGATTATACCAGGAACAGATTTGTTTGCCCAAGAGAGAGAAGTGATGAATCTCAGGGGACCTTATATAAATGGTCGCATTGTTTCTGAATAAGGCCAAGATTGATGAGGTACATCTGGCCTAAGTAAAGGAGGCTTCAACATATGATCAGACTAGCCTATGTGCACTGCTGCTCCAGCTTAAAGTTTATATGTATATGTATATGTATATATATATATATATATATATATATATATATATATATATATATACACACACACATGGTGAGCGTCGGAGGGGACAGTTGAACTTCTAAAAGGATGATGAGACCTTGCTCATTCTCTCCAGTGACCACTGGTGAAACTTTCCTGGGATTGAAATGTTCTTAATCTTCCTGATTTCTGATCAAGCTGCCTCTGACATATATCATGATTGTACCAGGATATCTTTTGTATCCTTCAGATAAGTAATCCTTATGTGATTAACCCAAGACGTGTTGTGACTGAATTTTCCATTAATCCAAGGCCATGTGACAACCCAGGGCAGTACTGCTTATTATCCTGGCAGAAGCATCAATTTCAACACTCCACCATTGATCACTAGATCAATGCCCGAGGGGGCCACATCTGATTCTCCCCTTTTAAGGTCAGAGAGTCTAAGTTTTATTTTGGAAAACATAGGGTACTTCCTCCATATTTCTCTATCACTGTAGAAAAATGGGCAGCAGCCCAACCCCAACCCACCCCCACTGAGAAAGAGAGAGTAATATTAGAAGCAATACAGTTAACTTCATAAAGTGTTACTAAGGAGCACAGTCAATTTGGTCCTTGGGCAAGTATACATGCTTCACACAGAGAAAAGCCCTAAACCTGGGCCCATTAACTGCACTTGTAACTCAAGTAACTTTTCTCACAGACACATGTCAATGCTCATATAAAGGTAATGACATAATTAATAACTACACCCACAACTAGAAAAATCAATCCCAAGGTTGTGAACTCTTAAAAGTTAAGCATTTCACATTCTAGTATATACATACATACACACACACATACACCCTCACACACACATATATGTAACAGCACTTAAAGATGGTATTAAGCCAGGTGTGGTGGCACACGCCTATAATCCCATTGGCTCCGGAGGCTAAGGCAGGAGGATCATGAGTTCAAAGCCAACCTCAGCAATTTAGTGAGGCACTAAGCAACTAAGTGAGACACTGTCTTCAAATAAAATACAAAAAAGGGCTGGATGTATGGTTAAGTTTTTAAGTGCACCTGAGTTCAATCTGAGGTACCAAAAAAAAAAAAAAAAAAAAGATGGTAATGAGTTGTGAGGAGGTGTTTCAGTGTAGGTAAACAGTGCTTCTTCCACAGTAACATACCTGGCAGGTCTTACCAAGGCCCATCTCATCTCCCAGGATGCAGCCATTTTGACAGTGGAATCGCTGGGCTAGCCAGTTGACTCCCTCCAGCTGATAAGGGCGTAAATGAATTCCTAGAAATAAAAAATATAGCAAAACCAGAGAGCAGACATTTCAGCACATATGTGGGCTAAGCTCTAAGGCTTTGAATGAAGAACATGGCTTACATTCCCTTAATGTCAAACTTTATTGGCTATATCTTTTATTGGGACGTTCTACATACAAACATTAGCTGATTTCCAAATTTCTTTTTGGGCAGACTTGGGTTACCATTCAAAGCCCTGAAATAGCCTGTCACTGTTATATAATCTTTTTGATCGATGAGAAACTCAGCCTGGGATTTGTTCTGTAATACCCAGTCTCAAGCCACTGTCCTTTCCTGGAAATAAGTATTCCTGGAAGTGATGCGACAAACAACACATGGACTGTTCATATGCTTGCTTAATGGCACTCATCTAAATCTGCCATTCCTGTATATTGTCCCTTAAAGAAAAGGGAGACAGTAAAACACCATGATCCTGAATGCTCCCTTTCTGTTTACAAAAACCTAGCAAAATTAAGGGACCAATGAGATCAAGCCTAGGCTGGAAAGTCCAGATACATATCATCTTGAAGGACACTGGCTTTCTCTATGCACACTGGGCACTAGGGCAAGTTAGTGTTATCTGTAAAAAGCTACTTTCTTGCATGTATGCTGGTCATACACACAAACTAATGCTGATGTCACTGCTTCCTCAGTCTAACATGTAAGACTCCTCCCTGAATGGGGCTGGGCAGAGAACTGAAGGCTCTGTGGAAAGGATACATGTCACTTGTTTGGCCAGAGCCACCAGGCAAAACACCAGGAGCAAGAGAGGTACTGCTTGGAGAAGCACCTTCAGGGACACAGGTGCTATCTGTTCAGTCTGTTGCCACGGAACTCTTCCTGGAGCCATCATTGATCTGTTAGAAGCTTTCCGGGATAAATCATGTCTCCCATGCTGTCTCCAGCACCTTCTTTGGCCTCCCCACAACCTAGTACAACTGGGCTGTGGACTGCCCCTGCTAAAGGACAAAATGAAAACAGGACTACACTGTGCGCCAACAGAGAAGCAGGGTTAAGAATGGAGATGCTGCTACATAAAGGGTGTTTAAAACTGAACAAGGATGGCAAGACACTATAAATATTTATATTATATATATTTATAATTATATCTACAAAATATTCAAAAGTAAAAGGTTGATGGGATGGGGTTGTAGCTCAGTGGAAGAGCACTTGTGTCAAACATATGAGGTCCTGGGTTCGATCCTCATAAAATAATAAGTAAAAATAAAGATATATATTTTAAAAAGTAAAAGGTTGAAGTGGTGGATAAAGAGTGACCCTCAAAGAGTTCATGCACAGACCTCAGAATCAGTGAATGTTACCTTACTTGGCAAAAAGGAGTCCACAGCCATGACTAAGGTTGAGGGCCTGGAGATGGGGAGACCATACTGAGTTATCCTGGATTACCCAATCTAATCACTCACACCTTTAGAAAATGGACCCTTTACCAGATGTGATTAGGAGGAGGTGACTATAATGAGGCAGTCCAGGTACCCTCGCCCAAAAGACCTTGCCATGATTAACCCTCTCCTCTTGTGAGATCAGGATGCCTTGCAGTTTGAAGCTTCCTCTTGTTCTAAATGATCTGTTGGCTCTCCAGAGTCAGGCCTCTGTTCTAAAACTCCAGTCAGTGTCTGGGCTATGATATTCCACAGAAGCTTTGCAAGATATTATCATTGGGGAAACTGAGGAAGGTTCCATGGGATCTCTTTTTTTTAAACTGCATGTGAATCTATAATTAGTATATAATAACGTGTTTAATTAAAATGATATGAAACTATATAAAGATAACAGTATTTAATACTTAGAAGATGACTGCAAAACTAAAAAAAAAAATCATCCCCAAAGAAGTTAGAAAAGTATTTAATATAGGGAATCAGGTCACCATAAATTTTTTGTTGGAAGGGCTGGAAAAGCAGCCCCGGTTTAGCTTCCTGGTACAGCTGCTGGATAACTATCAGAGAACTGGCTCCTTCAGGTGGCACCTCCCTCCAGGACCAGGGATCCAGGAACCAACCCAACGCAAACGCTATTTCCCCAAATGTTCTACAAAGCACACACACTGCTGCAGGGACCAGGAAAGGAAAAACCCTAACTCACAAACAGGTCCCCAAATACCCATGATCCTCACAAACAGGGCGGCGGGTCGCCCCGCTCCGCAGCTACCCTTGGGTCGCGGGTCCCCCCCTCCCTGCGCCGCCTGGTAGTTCCCACCCTGCTCTTCCCGGGGCGTCCCCTGCAGGTCTCTGCGGGTCACGGCGGCGGACCAGCCGCGCCCCACGCTCTGAGGGAAGAGGCACGGCGCCTCGTTCCCCGAGAGCCCCGCAACCGCGGGTCGGACCGCAGAGGCGGGGGCGGGCCGAGCGCTCTCCGCCGAGAGGCGCCGCTCTCCGGGCGGGAACCTCGGGCGCGGCCCCCGCTCCAGCAGCGCTCCCGTGAGGAGACTGACGGCGACTCCGCCTCCCACGGGCGCCGCGACCGTCCGGGGCTCCCGTGAGGAACGGGGAAGGGGAGGCCGGCGAGGGCCGCTGCGGTCGCACCAGAGGGCAGGACGGGACCTCGACTGACCGCGCAGGACAGCGCGAGCGTGCGTGGCCCGAAGGCCGCGGGGAGCAGCACCACCCAGCGGCCAGCCGCCGGCTGCGCGCGCAGGCTCCGTCAGGAGAGTCCGACCGCAGCGCCACCCGCACAGCCGGACCGCCGGGACCCGGGCTTCGCGCCCCACCGGGCACGTTTCCTCGCCCACCGCCCGGCTACCCGGAAGTGCCTCGCGCCGAGCTCCGCCCACCACGTGAGCGCCCACCCCCTACCGGCGGAGGGGAAGCCCCGGCGCCCGCGGGAAAGCCTCCTTCGAGACCCGGCTCGCGAAAAGCTGGGGTGCACGAGGTGGCGCGTCTGGGCGGCCCTTCTCCTGCAGCCCACTTACCTGTCAGGCCGCACTGCCCTAAGTCCTGCTCCTGCACCCGCGTCCTCACCGCCTCGGGCCGGCCCTTCGCCTGGAGGGCTACTAAGAAGCGCAGCACGCTGCCCTCCATCTGGCGGCGAGAGGCTCCGCCCCGCGCGCTTGCGTGCGCAGCCTTTCCTGTGAGCCGCGGAGGACCCTGGGAGCGCCGCCCAGGGCTGTGGGAGCGCCGCGCAGCCGCCAGGGGGCGCCCGCTGGGGCGTGTATGGCGAGCTGCTGGGAGTCCGCCACCAGGTCAGTCCTGGAATTCTTGGCTGGAGCCCTGGGTGGCGACTCTGCTCTCAGGAGTCAGCTCAATTCTGTTGACTCTAGCGGTAAATTGGGCGGGACTCTGAAGCCCCCTGAGCTGTCCCCTGTTAGCTGTAGGCCAAGCGAAAGCCTCCAAATGTGGCTGCCGCCAGGGGCACTTCAAGGGCGCTAGGGGAGTAGGTGGATTGCCCACTGGGTTAGCTTCAGGGTGACCAGCCTCAGTCTGAGTGCTCCCATGATGTAGTTTACCACTAGTACCACAAAGTCACTGCATCTACCCCCATACCCCCTAGGTGCGGCCCTAGGAGCCGACACACATTTTCTTATTTAGCACAACAACCTTATAAATAGGTTTTATTTATTGTAACTGGAATTTGAATCAGCAAAACAGGGAACAGAAGCTATTATTTTCCTAAGTGACTTTACCAGAGTATTATTTCCACATAAGTTAATCCTGGTGCTTCCGTTGGCCTTTGATAAATTCATTGTAAACTACAAAAGAGTTACATTTGGTTGTTTTTTCGCAGAGACGCCAACAAAGCATGGTCTTATGAAGCTGATTTTGTGTCTTGAGTCTTCATGAATACTGCTTGAGCCACCTACTCCATGTGCCAACCACTTATGTCACTAGAGACAGAGGCTACTAATCTCATGGAGCTATACTTTAAAAAGAAAAAAAAGGCAATAAATAAAAACCAGATAGCGATCAATGCTAAGAGAGTGGTAAATGCTAAGATCCATGCTAAGACAGTAAAACAGTGTCACATCTTAGGGCTACATTGATTTTGTCCAGCACCTTTCCTGTTACCCAAGTCCTAGGCCAGAGGCCTAACTCTGGGGTCCTAACAAATCAGAACTGACCACTTTCCCCAAAAACCAAATGGAAAAAATAATGGGGAAAAGGAACTTTCATCAATGTACCTATACTGGAAAGACAAGTGATGTCAATGTCTCAGTCCTGTCTCTCAGGTACTAATGAGAGCTTTAGCTTAAATAGAGGAAGAACTGGTACAGGAACCAAGACAGACGTGTAGTAAGCAGTCCTGGTAAACTGTCATGTGGTTTATCATTCTCTTGAGTTCTGATCACACCGAGTCTTATTGGTGTTGAGGACGTTGCCAGCTGTTCACGGGCAATGTCCACTTGCTTCATAGGATATTTATCTATTAGATCTGTGATCCTGGAATGGGGGGCCTTCAGTTCCCATGGGACTCTATGCTCCTGCTGAGGGAAGGCAGTCTCTTCACCACTGATCGGCCTGTAAAACTCACTGTTGGTGGAAAATGTGGGGTAAAAACTGAAGACTTCTAGGCACCACTCCAAGGCCCAGAGGTAGAAGCAAGCTGGCTGTGGAAAATATCTTAATTTTTCACATCTTCCTGTCTTCAGCCTTAAAGAAAGCATATTATCAGCTTTAGATGAATACTACTTACATGATTAATATGCTTATACTTACATAAATTAGTACATCAATTATGGAAATGCTGTGGGGATCCTCAAAAAAAAAAAAAAAAAGAAAAAGAAAAAACTAGAAATAGAACTACCATATGACCCAGAATCGTGCAGGAATCTGACCCATGCTGAGAGCCATAGCTGAGTCGGAATGACGCATGGTATTTTTGCCAGAATGGAGTGGTGAGGCCAACAAGCCATTGAGACGATGATGGTTATGTTAAGCTGTGTATTCAATTGTATATTAGACCCCTGCTGTCCGCCTAGGCCTGCTACTTTGGAGTTCTCATGGGGATTCCTGGAGAGTTCCCATTGGTTGGGGAAGGTCCGGAGGAGGGATTTCCGGTTGGTGTGGTGTATGCCTGGAGGAGCGATCGCCTGGGCGGCGATCAGGAGAGGTTCCCGGGGAGTGTGTGTGGAGTGTGCTGGTGGAGTTCGGAAATAAAGTTTGTTCCTGCTTGAGTGGCTTGTGATTTGTGCCCAGCCAGACTGCGGCAGACCCAAAGTTTAATAAGGGAGTAAAACAGACAAATACAAAATGAAGAAGAGATGCCAAACTTTATCATGCTTTTAGTTACACATTAGGCATCGGCAAACCCAACTGAAGAAACAGGTATTTTTAGCAAAGACAGCCTCTCTAAGTCCCTGTTTTATTTTCCTATTTGCGGGTTTTTTCAAAACATTACCATAGATTGGTATCCTTTGGTGGCTTCTCTGAAAGACTCTCTGGCTATTAAACTGCTTCTCAGTGTTTTTTTGCATCCTATTCTTTGTTTAACTTGTTTCCTCCCCTCCAGATTTTAATGCACTACATTTATCTGCTAAAGCAATGATATCAACCACCTTCCACTTAAACAAAAGCATGCTTATTGTTTTTTAACTTAAAGTATATTTCAGAGATAGGGCCCTAGCTCTAAGCTAAGTAGACTGCTGATATATTGAGTCTGGCATCTAAAATATAGCTGAGAAATGTAGCCAAGAGACTCCAGATCTGCAAGTCAGGTAACACATTTAAAAGTTTTACTCTGAATACTGTAGAGACAGGCAGGGGAGAAGCAGAGAGTTCAATTTGGAGGCTATTGCAATAGTCTGGGCAAAAGATGATAATTGGGGGGCCAGCATGGTTGTAGTGGAGTGATGAATAGATATATTGTACAGGTAATGCCTAGAAGATTCACGGGTTGAGCATTGGCAGGAAATGGGAGAATATAAGATGATTTCAACAATTTGGCATTGATAGAATGGAGTCACCATGTCGAAGGAGGAAGGCAGCAAAGAGTTTGGGGACATCAATATTCATTTTTGTGCTGGCAAGTATGCAGAAATAGGGGGACTCTTCATACATTGCTGGTAGGAATGTAAATTAGTACAGCAATTAAGACAAACACTCTGGGGCTCATCAAACACACACACACACACACACACACAGAAACTAGAAATACAACTCTCATATGATCCAGCAGTTCCATTATAGAGTGTATATCCAAAGGAAATACAATTAGTATGTGAAAGAGATATCACTCCCCAGCTTATTACTGCACTCTTCACAGTAGCCAAGATGTGGAATCAACCTAGATGCCCATTGTGGATAAATGAATAAAGAAAATGGGGCATATATATACAATGGAGTTTTTTCAGCCCAAAAAAGATGAAATTTTATCATTTAGAGTAACATGGATGAGCCTAGGGACATTATGTTACATGAAAAAAGTCAGGCACAAAAAAAGACAAATACCACATATTTTCACTTAATGTGGAAACTGAAAAGGTTGATGTCACAGAAGTAGAGAGTAGAACTGGGAAGAGTGGGAAGAAGAAGGGGTGGAGAAAGGCGGGTTAATTGGCACGGGGTCCAGCTGGATGGGAGGAATACTTCTAATGCTCTCTAGCATAGTGGGGTTCTCATGTTGATGGTAATTAATTGAATATTTCAAAATAGTAAAGAGGATTGTTGTAGGGCATGATGTAATGTGGGGCATGTTGCATCAGAAAAGAGGAAACTTAACTTGCTGGCTGCTACCCGCTTCCCGGTCCTGGGGCCACAGGTGGCTAAGAGAGCACCTGGCGATTAGCCAGAAGGCATGGCCGTGGGCTGTGATGAAGAATGGACCACCTCTAGGGTAGGCTCAGAACCCTTCTGCCCTCACGGACAGCTCCTGTCTCCCGTTACTGCCTGTAGGACGGGTGAAGATGTAAATTCTCCCCACCCTGCTGACCTTTACCCTGATTGGCTCCTGTACATCATGTTAGCTGTGTGTGTTTCCTCATTAAAGGAGATCCTGCTTTGACTGTTCTCCCTGGCGCTTCTGATTGTCCTCCTGCAAGGGAGGGCTGGGTGCAGACGGCCAGCCGACCTTTACCTTTCTTGGCCTGTCCTGGCTGGGGCGGGCTCTCCCAATCTCTCCCACAGGTCAGGAGGGAACAGGGAGGCTAAACCCCCGACATCTGGCGCCCCACGCGGGGGTGAGAGTATCGAGCCAAGCCAGGTAAGGCTAACCCTGGAAAGATGGGGCAGTCTCACACTAGGCATAAGGACCCAGCTCTTATGCTCAAAAGCCGAGGTTCAGAGATCTTGGATGCGCAGGCCAAAAAGGTCTGGGAAACCTTGACACTCTGGGGTCCTGGCTGATGGCTGAGGGGGAGGAGGAGGGAGAGGTTTGCGAGAGGGAGCTAGGCCAGCCGGCAGGAGCCCCAGGTGTTTCTTCTTGTGGCCCGCTGCAGGCCCCACCAGCGCCCGGGCGTCTGAGTCCCCCGTCCCACTCCGCCCTCGGGCATTGGGCCACCTGGGACCCCACAGAACAGTTGGTGAGAAAGAGGGAAATTAACCTGGGAGAGGACCCCCCTCTGAGGGACTATCTGCCCTCAGCACCTGTTTCTCTCCTGGCCCCTCAAGAGGAACATCTAGGGGCGACAAAGACCCTTTTAAGACACACCTACTCCTCCTTCCACCAATCCTTGGCCTGGTCCCCTAAATTCCACACTAACTGCCCCTGTCCCGGAACACATGGTAGACAGTCGGGATGGGGAACGGCCTCCGCCATATTGTCATCCCTCTCCCCGTGGAAATTCTCCGCCCTCTTACAAAAAAAAAAAAAAAAAAAAGATTCAAAAAAAGGCCATCTCCAAGGATGGGCCTAATTCGCCCTGGGCTGAAACCGTCCTCCGCCGTCTGGAAAGGTCAAACTCCATCTAAAGCACCCTGACCCCAGTGTAAAAAGGGATTTCATTTGGCAAAAGGATTATAAGTCCAAATTTGATATTGAGGGGAAGCCTTTAAACTAGTAATGGGGTGCCCTCCAGCCCCGTCACCCAAAGGAGGTGCCCCGCCTAGACACTGGCCTAGGGCCCACTGCCCAGGCGAGAGGCCCAGCCAGGCCCGC